AAATTTTGAACATAAGAGAAAAACTGGACATGAAGCGAAATTTGGTATGTATATACTATTATTATAGCCTAAAATTTCTTGTAAAATTTAATTTAATGTGATATAACCTTTTGAACTGTTAAAAAGACACAAAAGCTCCAAGAGAAATCGGTTCTTTGATTATAATACATGTATTTAGTAGCCAATATTACATTTCTAGTTGTGTCATTGTGGGGCTTTGTTGTACAGCATATCAAATCCAAAACAGTAATCACATTTGAGTCTTCACTTAAATTGTGTTGAGGCAAAACTGTACGTTCATGTAGTAAGGAATTGTATCGTGCACCGACCATCTCGGTTGAAATCCCGTATTTGTTTGGTATTTATTTGGTATATACACTGAAAATCCTAGTAACCGTGGTTCACTGTAAATCCACCTTTTTTTATAAATAATACGCACAGAATTCGATTTTAGCAACAATTTCGATAGAGCACAATGAAAACACATATCCTCATGAAAACCCCACTAAAAATATTTTAAACATTGTGACCGCAATGTTTTATTTCATTTTATAACAAACTTTTAAAAATTGTTTACTTTTGTGTAGTGTTCTACCTTAAGTACTGTTTGTATTGTAAGAGGTTGAAAATAGATAATAATAGCATGTCAGAAAACAAAATGAAAATACAAGACAATGTAAGACGACAGTCGGCAGCAAGAGTCCACAGTCCTCTACGGCGACAAAGGGAATATTTCATCTGAAGCGTTCCATTGTCTTATGACGTCACGGTTCATATATTCGCCAATAAACGGTGACACAAGCGAATGAAAGTTGAGTTCAGGAAATAAAAAAAAGTGTGCTATTCGTTTGTGTTGCTGTGAACACGTCTGAATTGTACAACAAATTTACTTTACGCGCTGCTGGCCCTGACTGTAGCGTAAATTAGGTGAGTACATGGTAGCTTGAACGTGAAAACGCGGACGCTTCGTGGCGCTCCTGGTGGACGCGCACGGCATGCGTGCACTTGGTTGCGGTTACGAACAATAAGGGAATTGTATAATTTTGTAATCTGGTTGCGAGTTTCACTCTGAAATAATGTAGCATCTTTCATATACAACATATTTATTAAACTGTGAATTCCTGCAAAGTAGTAACAAAGTAACGTATTTAGCCACGATAGTTACTTTCATTTCATTATAGTTTTAGCTGTTATTTCTGTGTCATTTATCATGTCTAAATATTTTCTGTTTTAAGCTTACTACGTTCGTACGTATATTACGCATTTGTTCAAACAAAATGATCTATGTACAGTTCTAGTCATGCTTACATTTAAATAGAAATACCCCCAAAGTGAGAAATTACATTTCTTACAAAAGTGTTCTTCAATTTCCGCTGACCTCATAATACCAGTGATACAAACATTCCGTTCATAATCCCCACATTTATGAGACGGTGGGATAAAATAATACGTTTTCATAGTTTTTAAATGAATGCAATATCTAGTTAGTTTCCTATGTGGACATGCAAAAAGTCAAAATAATGTACATTATGATACATAATGTATTAATGGGGCCAATATACTGAAAGACATGTCTTTTTAGCTAGCATGTTATTTTAGCTAATTTAGCTAATCTGTAATTTCGCTGATTCATGATGTCGCTAATTTAAAATAAAGTATATTCTCACAATGAGATTGTTGGCACTTCAGCTAAATTAAGATTAGTTAATTCATGCATGGAGTCAAATTCGCTAAAGTGGCATGTAGCTGTTTTACAGTACTATCAGGGGGGAAATCTCTCTCTCGGGGTTCTCCACTGTTCTCCATACTGTTAACGGTGTTAGTCGTCAAGCGCGGTTTCGTCTCTGCCATCGAGCCAGTTAGTTCGGTTCACAAGAAAGACACATCTTCGCCATTTCACTTTTCTTCACAGGATGTCAATGTGCGTAAGACGCAATGCCCGGGTTCTCCACCACGTATCAGGGGGAAATCTCTCTCTCGGGGTTCTCCACACTTGTCAGGGGGGAAACTCGTCTCGTCTCTCTATCTCGTCCCCTTGTGGTACGGGATCGGGAAAGTCACTTTAACTTTACAGTCAAATAAGGCACACACAACGAAATACGTTTCAACTCTCGTCTTAGTCGATCTTTTGGAGCACTCTATAAGACACAGCGCCCTGGGGAAAAGTTCCCAAGACTCTCACAAGGCTGAACCAAGACTCGCCCAAGACTGGACTGCCTCAAGGCTCGCCCCTGGACTGGACTCTCGACTGCACTCTCTCTCTACTGCGTCTGTCGTGGAGTCTTCGCCAAGACCAACTCAAGCTCTCTTTATTCATTTTCAAAACTCTAACCAATTACAAAACAGTAAAAAAACTCTAGGGCGTAACCTTCAATCATAAAGCCAATCACACTAAGTACTGAATACGTCATATCTTTTGATTAATCGTTCACTACATTAATAACTATGGATATAAACTGTCAGATTGAGTAGTCTAAAAAGCGGTGGTTATCTGGTAATTAGTTCCAAATCACTGAGCCAAGTTCCGTCCAAAACTTCAAATAGGCCTACACGATGACAGACATAACACAGCAATTCGCTAATAATCAACTAATTAAGTCGGTCAACAGATACGCGAAAACAAATTCATGACAGTACATATATAATCTCTTCCGTGTGAATGACTCCTTCGGGGTACTCTCACTGTGGCCGTTCTCGGACGTACAATTTCAAGATTTCTGAAACGAATTCGATCTCGAACTCAATAGAATGTTGTCCGCAACTAGTGGAAGCAACATTACATTTACATTACATGGGCAAGATGTAAAATGTAATCAGCTATTTTATTCGACGGTAATTTGTACACAGATTTTATTTTTTGTAAGCGTATAAAGCATTTTCCACATTAAATGTCGCAATTCTCACGCAATTCCTAATTTTGATTCTTAAACACAAATTATCAAATATAAAAATGTATAGTGGAATTTGCTTTATCTGTAAAGTGTAAAAACTTGTGATCATTGTAAATGGAACTTTCATTTTATTTTCTGTAAAAACGTAAAATGCCCTTTTTCTTCCTGTAATCTGTACTAGCTATCCCCCTTATCTCCTTCTTTATTCTGAAGCGCAAGAACTCGTGGCCCTTTGTGTAATGTTAGCTCAAATTTAGATTTGAATTTATCAACATCTCTGTAGATCATTTCTCCGGCTATTGTGATGTGAAATCGACACCTGTCGCCGCATTACACGTCCCCTGAAAATTGTACAAGCCTTAATTGTTGACTTTTTCAAGGCCGAAGAGTCTCTGAAACAGGCATCATGCGTAAACAAATGCCTTTTCCTCTCCTTCCTGGAATAGGCCCGGGAAACAGGTATAGAACGGTCTCAATCCCCGATCTCAACTGAATCTCGAGCTGAAACTACTTCAACCACGGTAATGAATTTAGTAGTGATAGATTATATGTGTATTTTCAGCAATGACACAGGGTAGAAAACGGAAAGCAGAAGATTGTGTTCTACTGATTATACACCAGGTGTCAAAACGACCCAGACGCGAACCATCTCCCAACCTATACATACAAGGTAAGGAATATATAATGACTGTCAATTGAGGGCGTCCTAGACGTTGCCTCATTTGAAGACTTTACGATTACGTGTATTGAAAGAGACACGTCTTTCAGTGGTATCATAGAGGGGAGAATAAGTTAGAGGGTTGGCAAGGGGTATTTTCATAAGCTGTAATTAACTATTTTTATTTTTGTAATAATGTAATTTAAATAAATAAAAAAAACGTATAAATTCGTAGACACGGGCAAGGTGTAAAATCTAATCAGCTATTTTATTCGTCCGTAATTTGTACAAAGATATTATTTTTTGTAAACGTATAAAGCATTTCTCGAATTGAATGTCGTAATTCGTACGTAATTTCCAATTTTGATTCTTAAACCCAAATTATCAAAAATATTATAAAAATGTAAAATGTAATTAGGAGTTTTTACTGTAAATGGAACTATCATTTTATTTCTTGTAAAAACGTAAAATACCGTTTTTAATTCCTGTAACCTGTACCAGCTACCCTCCTGCCCCCTCAAGTTACGTTCTGATACGTTTTTCCCTGGTTCATCCCTGGTTTGTGGACGGTATGCGGTACTGATCATCGTGTGAAAAACATAAATCACAATGACGATATAAAGCAGATCCGGATTCAGCTTGAAACAAAACTAAAGTAAACCAGATTAAAAGCCGCTCTCTCCCTTTTTCTAATAACTTCCAAGTTCCATTGCGATATTGTATCAGTCTTTGAATTAAAAACAACAACAACAACAAACAAACATAAAACAAAAAAACAGCGGCAACATATACAAGTTTTTCCCCCCAATTCATTTTGCATGAATATATTTGTTTGCACTGTCAATAGTGAACACAATAATACGACATATTTTCGGGCCAACACAACTGAATTACTAAGTGGCAATAATAACTTTTGACAACTGGTATCGACCCCGTATTTATGATCAATTTTATTGGCTTCGTGCTTCTGTTTTCTGGTTGAACGTGTTGTTTGTGTATGAAAGGGAAACCACTGAGTTTATCAACAGTTCAATATATCGCATGTTTCGTTCGTAAAAGACGGATGACATCATCCCCTCGTGGAACATTTCATTGTTGATGAAGGTAAATATTTAAAATCGATAATGAAATGTGGGCTGTGCATTTTTTTCTTTCTCAAATAACATGCCTATAAACGACGTATAACCATCTTAATATATTCCATTGCACCCAAAATATTCAATGATATTAATTGTATAATTTAAATACCGTAATGTATCTTCGAAATTCACCCCTAGATACGAAAATGGTTGTATCCAAAATAGTGTTTCTATTTGGCGATGACAACACTGCGAAGCACTAGCAATTAACATATTCCCGTGACAACGAACTGAACTGAGCTGCTGATTGGCCCGCCAGTGACACATGACCTGTAGCCAGCCCTGTTTTCGAATTTATCCAAAAGAAATATGGCCGTTCGCGTCTCCTAGAAGTTTGGCAGGTCGTTTCGTCGTTTTTGGATCAAATTTTGTCCCCTTTACCATCGAGCACAGGTCATCACGTCTATTTGCGCACGCAGTGTATGTGTTCATGGTTGTTGCTGCTTCGTAACTTTAAGGATATCGTCAGACAACACGCGGAAACAGGGATTTAAGGTCACCCAGTGATCTGTTGTTGAGTGGGGGACTTTTAAGTTTGGGTCGGAAACCGGTACGGTGGGACTATTTTAATGGATAATAGGACGATTTTTGAAATGGCAGAAGAGAATGAGTTACTTAGCGCTTCAGAAATTATAAAAGGTAGGTGCCATTTCCGATATTGACAACAACTGAATGCTATATAAAATGTTGATGGACTGACATTCGCGTGTGTATACGTAGTAGGGAGTTTTAAAGCATACACTGCGTATACCGTACTACTTACTACGCGCGACTGTATGTTAACATTTTTATCATGGACTTTATCTCTTCTCACAGTTATTCCTTCACGTTTCAGATCGCTTGTATTTTGCAACCTTGCGGAATAAACCTAGAAGTACTACAAACACACACTATTTCTGTATCGACGACGAGTTAATTTATGAAAAGTAAGTATTATATTTGCTGCCACCCATATATGTATACAGTGTTCGAAGTTTTAAATTTTTTAACCATATGTTTGTTTTTCCTATTTGTAGCTTTTACGCTGACTTCGGGCCACTAAATTTAGCTCTGTTGTACAGGTATTGCTGTAAACTAAACAAGAAGTTAAAGGTGAGATACATAAAATGAAAATGAACTCGCTGTAACCGCAAATTTGATGTGTGACGTATAATGAGCTTACTGTTTTCTCGTAGTAACAGTATGAACGCCATTCATAAATTCCGTAGGTTGTTGATATGGTATAGGTAGTAGGTGGGCGGTATGTCGTGCTGCCACATTAACTGCCAAATGAAAAATAAATAAATAACTCAAGCTAATATAAGTTGGTACTGTATGTAAATTAGTTTTCTTAGATTGTATTGGAGCATTGATAGGGTGTGGTACATGTAATTGTCCCTTTAAACTTCTTAAAGACAGTTTCAATGAGAACTCTTCTGTCAATGAATACTATTATAACTCTTGACTTCACTTGAAAAAAGTCTGGTTTGAAGGATTCCTAGACTCCAGATATAAAAAGAATAAAAATGAATCCTGGGGAGGTTCTCGGCCCACAGAATTTGACCTTGTCATTTTGATGTTTGGTCCTTGAAATTCTTATTGCCAGGAGCAAATAGAACAAATTCTACATAAACATGGTAGAACACAGGTGGCAATTCAGATTATCCTTGACTCTAAATGTAAATTTTTATATTGCTTAATACAGAATGTTGAAATTTTGCATTGTTTATCTGGGAGTGGATAATGAAATGTTTTGAGTTGTTTCTTCATCTGAGCATGATGATCTGAGTTGACATACCTATTGTCAGGTGAACTGAATCCCAATTTCTAAAGTAAATTGCAGCAGCATCACATTCTTATTCACCATCGCTTGAAACATATAAATCTTTTGTGATGATATTTTTTTTGTTTACAATACTACTTCGCCCCATAGCTCTAAAATCTTAATTCACTTAGCACTCATGGTTTAACCAGTTCTTTTTAAAACGCATGGTTGATATGTTTCCTGTTTGATGCATGCAAAATATTTGTTTAATTTTATATACAAACTTTGAACACGTGCTGCAAGGCGACTGACATAATGGTTTTGTGATTTAAAAGGTAGTGGTCGTTATGTAAGGTGCATTTGAGTAAACATTACATTTTACATGCATTGTATACTGCGCATTGGACCATATCAAACGTGGTGTGTTGCGGCAACCTCCACCCTCTAAACTTACATGTTGGTAAGAATAAAGGAGGATAATTTTTTGCAGAGGTCTGTGTGATAATAAATAAAGATAAAAGGTATTAAATCAGAGCAGAGAATGTCCTCTCCTGGCGCTATTTATTGACCCTGTGAATTTCATAACGCAGTTCTGTGTGACCACCTAAATAACAGTCATGAAACAGTGGATGTTTTTTTTCAAACACTGGTGTAGTTTGTTTTATGCATCTATGATTACTTTGAATGGAAGTATGTCAATAAGATCCAGATGTCTCTGATTCTTCATTTTGTCAGTTGTCCGAAGTTCTAGTCAATGATGACTATAAAATAAATAAAAGAAAAACAAAGTGTCCAATTATTCATAACTTTTAATTTTTATTTATATCAGGGATTGTGATTACCTTAAATGTGCCTAAAAATGCATAATTTGTAAGAAACCCTAATTTTGATACTAGCCTGTGTCTTTACTGTGATTGAGATACATAGAATGTAATTTGAATAAGTCATAAAGCAATCTTCTCAAAAACTATTAGTACAACTCTTGTTATTCATATTACAGTAGATCTAAATAGTTTTATTTGAGTGAGCATATAGTAATGCATGGTATTCCTATCTAGATCAATATATTTTTTATGATTTGTTAAATCTCATCCTTAATAATAGTGAAACCAATGTTTATTCTAAAACTGCTACTGTAGTAGTTGGAAATTGATTATCATTATTTCTGTTTGCGTAGTAATGTGATCTTGTTAGTTGAGAGGAAGTAGAACCTAGTTTGTCAGACTGTCAATTGTTCATGTGTTTGTTAGTAATAGCATAGGGTGACGGGTGTAAACTACTCTCTCTGTAGTATACATTGCTTGTGACAGCAGGACATACAACATGTAGTAGATATAGGAACACAACTGTAATTTGTTGACAACAGTGAATGTTAATTACTGTACCTGCATGGCAATGAGGGAGTAAAATGTAAAGCTCCTGAGATCGGTTCTGATTGGCTACCTACCAAATGGTTAGACCAATCAGAGCCCAGCTTGTTTGTTGACATGTTTTTTTTTAACTTATCACTTTCCACCTTGTATATATGCTTGACTTAACTGCAATGAGGTCATTGACATGCTATTTTATGGTGATTGTGGCTCTGTTCAGCTGACTGATGTCTATCTTATCTGCAGAATTATGCTACTATTCACAAATTGGATAACATGTCGGCTTCTATTTGCACTGATTTCAACCCTCCTCCTTTCCTTGCATGTGCTTATATCGCAATTACATCATCTGGTCAATGCAACGGCTGTATTTCCACTATTAGAATCTCATGTAATTCAAAAATAAAATATATATTTGTTCATAAATCCATCTTTAGAGATGTTTCTACTACCAAAAAATTTCCACATTGTGTTCCGAAAAAAAAAATGTTGGTAATTATCTCTGAACCCTTTAATTTTGGTCACCAATCACAAAATAAATAAAGCTGCATATTTTTGCAAAGATCTCTGTTCAAGATCTGTAATTAGAAATTATTTCAATTGGTCCAAAATAACCTAAAATGTTTTTTAATTGTTCATCAAAATGTTAGTCAAAAAAATGATGTTTAATATTAAATTTGAACGAAAATGCGATGGTGCTTTTATAGATTTCAACTGAACATTGGAGGATTTTCTCTCAGCTGTGAATTTATCGGAATCTTGGTGCCTGTCAAATAATTTAGAGGAGGCAAAAGTTGACTATAGAACTCGTATACTAGCTGCTTCAAAACTAGAATATATAAACGATATATCACTGTATTTACACAACTAGCTTATTCATTGTATCTTATTTATTGCTATCTAGTGCTGCTATATTTTAGTTATCATGTCACGCCAGCATCATTCACATGCTAGCATCTCACAATATTTTGCCATAAATCTGATGACACTCTTTGCTCCTTTTCCTCCCACTTTTTCTCCATTTTGTAGGCTTTCACTTTCAGAGACGACAATTGCTGGAGTCATGTAAGCTTAATGTCTTTCACTCACGTCTCTGCATGCTGTTCTTTTTTTGAAATTAAGTTCACTTTAGTGTCTTGCAGTTTGATAAGAAGAATCATATTATAGTTAGTTCCCTTATTAATAGCCAACTTAGCATGCTTTTTATTGCACCTGTTTTTGTTTCTGTATCAGTTCAATTTTGCATCACTATAAACACTCCTTTCATAAATGAATAACAAATGCTTTGGAATAAAACTAAATTATAATGGAGTTTTTAGTTTTCTACTCCTACCACTGTTTATTATGGCTTCTTTAGTTTGGATTATCAACTAATTCCCAGCAACTGATTGTTCTTGTAGATTTTACCGTTAATGTTTTTTTCTAAAATGTACATGTATAATTTGAATCTTCCAATTCATATTTGTTGTTATTAATATATAGTAATTATCAAAATATGACATTTATTTTGTAATAATACATAGTAATAATCTAATGTGTAATAATGTTCAATTGGGAGTGGAGATGAAGGTACGGTATGTACAATCAGCCAATCAGACTGCTTTAGTGAGCTGTACATAACTAATATTGTTCACTGTTTTTTCTAGAGGTTGGATATACAGTGTATTAATTAATAAAATGTACTGCACAACCATCTAGAAAGTTAGATTGTTTTCAGTATCTGGACCTATTGTAGTGACAACTTATGTACACTATTCTAAAACTGTACAAATGTTGTATGGTACACAAACTGCGCCCCCCTCCATTTTTGGAGGTATATGGAAAAGTTATGTTTTTTTTTCTGTTGAGGATTCTCAGACAAAACAACTGGATGCATTGAAGCAGAAATCCTGGCCCTTGTAAGAGTGTACTTTCAAAGTTTAGCCTTTGCCCCCATCTTCACTTTGACAACAATAATATCTCAATAGTCGAGTAATCGTGTCGTTTGTGTTTCTTAAGACATAGAGGATGTGGAGCTTGTGAGTTTTCACAACAGGCATGTTTGGTTTTTTAAATATATACTTTGTTTTGATTGCAGTCTTTTTCTCTGAACAAAAAGAAGATAGTCCACTATACCAGCTTTGATGCCAGAAAACGTGCCAATGCGGCTTTCCTGATAGGTGCCTATTCGGTAAGTACACCTTAGCTGTATTTCACTGTGACAAGGTCACAGGGTCAGTATACATTGAACACTGATTCCAAAGAACAGGATGTTTATATTGCTATGGATTGTACACCCTGTATATTTTATGGTGGCCTGTACCTGGTCATGTAAAAGTAGACGTGTGTTAACATTTGAACACACGAGCCTTGAATCAACTGCAGACATAAGCCATTTTTTTCCTCTCAGTTATTCACATTTTTGAATCCATATAATTCTAAGCCAAAACTACCTTTGTGAACACGCATGTAATGCAATTTAGACAGCTGTGACATAAAATTCTGGTTGACTAAACTGGCATGTTATTATGATTGATATACACCATGTTACATGACATGTTACTATGTGTTTACTCATTGGGTACCACAAAGCTAATTTTGGCTCATTTTTACTTGAATTAAAAAAAGTATGAAAATAAGATTTGGTGAAAACTGACAGCATATTAGATTTATGAAAATCTAGCGAACGTTGTAAATACGGCTAGAATTTAAATTTTTGTTCGAGTTTACATGCAATCTGCTAATGTTTTTGTTTATTTTCTGTGCATATACATTTCGTTCGTATTTACTTCTTTCTTTCGTGATCGGAAGACGATTATTAAAAATACAGCTGTAAATTGAAACCACTGTAGTTGCGTATCGTGAGCAATAAGTGGCAACAATGTCGGGCGACAATGAATTCAAGCGATTGACACATTGCCATGAATACACTTGATAACTGCTTGCAGACCTCCAGTGGTTATTGTTTATGTCTGGACTCTTGAAACAATAGCAAAATAAAGGGTTGGGCAACTACTCTTTTGTTTAGGCTTGGGAAGAACAATGCAAGCTTTTTACAAATAATTTCAGCTGGATGTACGTTGGTGGGCGGGTGTTGAGAGTTACTGGGCGGCCGTAAAACTTGATGGGCGGGCCGCCCGCCTAAAACCCCTTGTGGAGAACACTGATTATAATACTGTATTCACTCTATTAGTTGCACATACACTTATATAAATGACAGGTGTATCTGTGGTCAAAATAAGTAACTTTTTGGAACATGCATAGTAATCTATAATAAATGAAATTTTTGAATTTTGTTTGTTTTTGTTGGAGATGCATTCCTAATAAAGCAAATACAGTGTATGCTGATACCTATAATAATACATGAATGTTGCCATACATAGACATTTATTTGTATGTGTTTTGATGCTGTTTGATTTTTGTAACACCATTAATTCCTAATACTGGTGATTTTAGTTCTCTGAGGATGATATACAAGCAAGAGTGTGGCATCAGTCGTAGTATTTTTTTAGTCCTCGTTCGGGCGCAGTCCGAAAACGGGGACTTATGTTTTGACCTCTGTGCGTGCATGCGTCCAGACCTGTATCTTTGAAATGCCTGGATCAATCACAATCAAACTTCACACATACATCATACATGATATTATACATATGCATCAAAATCAAGCATTTCTTGGCTGTTTACAGATGGATTTTGTTCAAACTTGGCATATGCATTGGACATTATGGGACCTTGATGCAAATCATTTTGTTTTTCAGATAAGATTCAAAATGTGGTTCTAGTGCTTTGACTGATTATGTTCAAATTTTAAATATTCATTATACATCATGTCATAGATATACAAAATGGCCGAATTGTGACTACTTTTATGCTAAAAAAATCATCAAATATCAAGCATTTCTGGGATTTATAGATGTATTTCGTACAAACTTGTAACATACATTAGACATTATGGGTTCCTGATCATTTTATTTTTCAGATCGGATTGAAAATGGCTGACTGGTGGCCATTTTGTTTTAATGAATGTGGTTCTAGTGTCATATCTCTGACATGCTTTCACTGATTATGTTCAAATTTCACATATTCATTATACATCATGTTATAGATATTTAGATGTATTCAAAATGGCTGATTTTGTTTTGATTAATGCTGTTCCAGAGGAATATCTCTCAATATGGACAAGTACTCATTTGACAATCAAATACAAATGTCAATTATTTTAATGTTAAACAATCATCATATTCCTGACATGCTATATTCCAGCTATATTACTATAAACAAAACTATATATCTTAAATTTGATAACAAACAGGGACTGTGCCATGCATGGCTTGTCACTAATGTTGTGTCTTAATCATCTCCATTTAAATTGGTACAGTATCCCATAGAGCACTGAAATACACGATCTCATTACTAGCGATGTTGTAAGGAGGCAGTTTGTTTTGTATGTAAAGCAAACATTTTGTACTGTGACTACATGTCTATTATTATTTCCTAGCTGTTTGCTTCGTTCAACTTAACTGCTTGGTTTCTATTTCTATACTGTATCCTGAAAAAACATGACATGTCGTTATTGACAATATTTTTTTGTTCAATTAAGAACTGAGCCCAAAATGAAATGTGTTACTCAATTCACACTATGTTAGCATATACAGACTATACATCACCTGCAAGCTAAAAGTTTGTTTATTTCTAACTATTTGCATGCTAGTACCATATATAAAACTTGACTTATTCTTGGGAGCGGACATCCGTCATTATCACCGCTTGACAACCATCATCAGTGAAAACATTCTCAGGGAATTGTACTTTGGGCTAGTTGTTGAGACTCCAAACAGTGCAACAAAATTAGCCCTACACATACATATATAAATTTGGTTATTTAGGATTGCCTCAAAGTTAAGTTTGTGCTGTTTTCCTGACATTAGCTGTTTTCACCGACTCTTCGACCAACATTCCACAGCAGCTTGCGCATAGCCCATAGAAATACATGATACAGTGGTGCGTCTCTTAGCAACATAGAACGTGCTGTAACATAGCTCCGCCCCCAACAATTCAACAGATCTTTACTCATTTGGTAATCAAAGGTCATACTGGCTCAGTATTACATGGATTAAAAATATGAAAACAAAAATACATTTTATTCTCACTCCTGTTAGACTTGAAAAGCATAAAATAAGAAAAATGTTCTCCTTAACAAGATGGTAATTTAGATCAATGTAGGACATGTGTTGAACTCAGTGCCTTGTAAGTTTAACCATGAACGAACAGTAACCCGAATCTCTAGGGAGCTGTGTTATTGACTCTATAGCTGAACTATTGAAGGATGATCTTCCAAGTATTAAACACAATTCTTTGTCAAAGGCTACCCAAGCTTTTTTATCTAGAATATTTTTAGTCCTCTCGCATGGGCTGGCTTGCCATAATTTTCAAGAAATGCAACACAGTACCGATGAGCTAACTAATAGCTTTCTGCTCTAGATGTGATAGAACTGGTAAATTATTACTGTCATTAAAGTTGATCCTAAAATAACTATGTAACCATCTTCAATGATCCATTAAATCATGACATAAAAACATTCTTAATCAGCATTATTATCAGCATAATACTGTAAATGTACTAATTATTCACTGCATTTTAATTTTGCTCATCAATTGCCTTCATGTACTGTTGACTTTGTCTGATTGATTTCATATTGTACTCTCTCAGATTTGTTCATTTTGTGAGGATATTTTCAATTCTGAAATTGAAATGTGCATTGCTAACAGCAGGGCTATTTTAGTCAAGAGAATGTGTATTATATCCTGCTTACTTAGTTGTGTTTGTTTGTAGTACATATGTAATAGTTCCTCATATGTAAGATCTTATGCAGTCAGAGAAACACAACATACTGTCAACTTCATTTTTGTGTTGTTTTGCTGACTCACAAAATTTGTCTTGTTTACAGCAAAATATCCTACTGCGGCTGTCATTGCTCTACTTCCAACATTTAGCAAGCTGTCAGTGACCAATGATATCACCTGTTTATTTCAACTTTTTTTAATTACATGACCTTTTGACCCAAATAAAGTACTTTGTTGCTAGCATTTTGAATTCATGCGTAGATTATTTGCTGGTCATTTTTATCATGTATTGATACCACCAATGGGTTACAAGTAATAAAGACAGCAATTGGTGAAAATTATCCTAACTGGTTTTCAACCAATCCCTTTCTACCTTGATTTGTCAATAAGCATACTTAATAAAATAATTTCTTGGGGGAAGGACGGGTATTATTAATACCTGTTAAAATACTGTAATATAGCTAGCTACATGTCCATTTTAATGTCAACCTCATGAAGAAGACATTTTGTTGAATTACATGTAGCTATGCAGAAATATCTGAGCCAATGTAAAACTATTTCCAAGGTTGTACCTAATAGGCTACCCAACCAGACCAATGTCAGACCAATCAAAGATCAGCTGTTTGTTGGCATGTTGTTTCAATATATCAACTTCTGTTTTGTATACATGTATATGGTTTGACTCAACTTAAATATCTTGCCAGCTATGAACAGTAATTTTACTTATAATGATAATTGTATTGGTCTGCCTGTTGATGTCATTTTTCCTATTCATCTATGGAGGCTTTCAGCAGGTGTTGTGTTAACATTTGGTCTTTTGACTTTAATTATGTGTTTGCACTTTTTTGTGTTTCTGTAAAACTGTTTTTGGATTATCCAAAAATTCACCTTGTTGCAATACCGGTACTAATTCATTCAGACGTACATTTATGTATATCTAAATTATCAGTTACTAGAACAAAGTCAGTGAGTACATCCCAATTTACTGTATAGCAAGGTCATTGGACTGTTCCTACTGTTGTCTGTCTGTACAGTGGGTAGGAGGGTAGAATGTCTATAATGATTATTCATTCGTGTATGTTCATTACAGGAACATACAAGGTTATTGTATTGTCAGTGGAAGGACATTTTATTTACATAAATTTCAGCGTACATACATAACCTCTGTGGTTTAGTCATCGCAGTATAGTTAAATTTATGGTGCAGTTAACATTTTAGCAGTTTGATAATTTGACTACACTCACGAACTTACTGTGACAGTGAAAGAAAGGACAGAGACTCAATAATTTCGTTGTTTCAGCCTGCACCAGGAGCTGGTTGTTCTATGAAAGAGATGTCAGATATAGTTGATATCACAACCACTGTCTGGTATATAATCACATGTTATTAACACAAAGTGCTGGACGTTTGTCTGTAAAAAGCATTGCTAAATTACTAGTTTGCTTGCTAACATGTGCTGCATTGGTGTTTGAATGTTACATTCAATGGTAGTAAAGTGCTAGTGACATAGTTTAAATTTCGTGAACAACAATATTTTTTGAATGCTATATGTAGCCTGGAACTCATTTTGAACAGGAAAAGCAGATTCACTATAATAAGGGTTCAACCCTAGAGAAATAAGTGGTCATTAATAAATTGGCAGGGTATTGACCTCCACATGTTAATGTCAAGGTGAAAGTTAATTCTTTAGGGGATAAAACTGTCAGTTATTTTCTCTCCTCATAGAAGCTTGCATTATTATGCATTATGCTTTGATATACACCAATCAGTTTGGTTAGTTTTAATTCTGGTCACCAATGTATGTTGCCTTCAGGAAGCTTTCTTCTCATGGGATTCATCAGTCAAGTGTATTTTACGAGAGAGTGTTCTGTAAGCTCTAATTGTTTGCTCATACATTTGTATATACATTACATGTAAGTAATTGGTCAGATGCTGTAAGAGGCAGTATACAAAAACAACAGGAAACCTCTGACACAACAGATGCTAATATGATCAATGTCAAAAATCCTGATTTCTACATGTAGTGTTTCTAACTACTGTAAAACCTGTGTATATAGTGACCGCCTGATGGCTCTGTTAAAATAGTCTTTAATAAACAGGTGGTATTTTATGAAGGTTGTATTATTTGTTTTATAAATGTAATGCTAATTATTAATTTGGTATTTAAAACAAGGACAAATCTGCAAAAATATTTCTGAAAGGGTGGTTAAACAGTGTATAAGAAAAGTGGTCTTTATACAATGGTTGCATCAAGATGAAAGTCACTAGAATTTATCATTACAGGCAGGTGGTCTTTATATAGAGGGGTCACTAACACAGATTTGACTACTACATATTCTTTCTCTACTGGCTTCTTTAATCAGACAAGGAATCCATGCAATCACTTCCTTATTTGCATAGATAGTAGAATGGAAAAGCAAAAAAATAATTTGACAAGAGAAAAAATCTTGATGAAATGATTGAAATAATCTGTTGTATTAAAAAAAACACTTGATGTTCATTGAATAGCTGTGCATCCTAACTGTCTATTGGCATGACTGGGTTTCATTACCGACGCACTTCATCAAAGAACTGCCTTCTCAAATCTAAGTCTGAACATGGAATATTCTATGAGCTTGTGCTTCTTAGTTCTCTAAGGGATTGAGTTAATGAAATTGAATTAAAGAAGACGTTTTGTGTTTTTTGTTATTACCCGATGTATAGGAATGTGTAGTTGAATTCTATTATTGGTATCTCAATCCCACACAGATTAACGTACAACTGACTTATTGTTGTCGCTGAATTTAGGTCACGTTCACCACACACTTTTTGTAGAGCGCCATTTTATCCTTCTTATAAACGTTTTTCATGTATTAAGGCTAGGTGTAATAATTGAATCGCATCTTTGAAGTTAAGCTTATTAGGAAGTTTGGAATGCTACTAATTTATGCAAGTGATATGGCTAATTACGAAAATGTAGAGAGATTCACTTTTAGCCGTTCTTAATCATATATTTGATATGAATATGGACAACACTTTTCTAATAGCTAATTCAGCCATGAAATTTAATGCATTGCTTCCTTTTCTTAGACAGATTTTACCCCTTTGTGTTCATTGAAAGGGGTGGGGCTGCAAACCACGTTGATATATTAGGCTACGTCAAAGCAAGTAATTGTGATGGAACGTTTTGAGGGTCATTGTTAGTCGTGCTGTTTTGTGCTCATTTTTACTGTGCGTATGTAGCCCATGGAACACAATGCCCAATGACGTACACAGTAGCGTTATTACCGTCACTGGGGCGGTCAGCTCGGTTCTATTCACAATTAGGGACCAGGTGTAATATCAGACAACATTCCACACGTTGTACGTAAACATTCTCACCTATATATTCTACTACATCAGCATAATACTGTGAACCCTGGCATGGCATTCTTGAGGACTACATTTTTCAAAAATCACCAACACTCTGTTTTGTGGGACCCCGGCGAATTTGTCACTGCTAGCAAATTTTGTGGTTTGTCTCGTGCAATATTAAAGGGATGTGTATCAGGGGTTTCACAAATGCATTTAATAGCAGGCCATCATCCTGTAACAACAGGCCAAATATAAAATAAAAAGGCTCTTGGTAGTGCGAAGCGCTACAACAAGACCGGCGTAGGCAGTCAGGGGGGCAGAGAGTAGACAGCCAGTTTGGGCTTGTAGCCGGCGATGGGCTCTTAACGAAACCCCTGGTGTATTGTTAGTTTATATTTATTTTATATTGTCATCTGCTGGGTAAAAGTAGGAACATTGCACTTGTTATACTGTAGAATTGTTTTAATTTTTCTAAAGAGACAGTAGTTATTAAATCATCAATTGTTGACCTTTGCAGTACATCAAATTGCTGTGTTCAACAGAAATGAATGACCACTCAAATAAAATCACCTACAATACTTGGTAATCATAAACATCCTCTGACTACCGGGGGTATACTGTTTAATTCACTCGTTCTTATCAGAAGATTGGATTTTCAGAAAGCAGATGAGAGTAGAAAACATGTAGCAGAAAAATCATATTTGTCGATAGGGGCATATGCATGGAAAGATTAACATAACGCCTGCAGGAAGCAACTAGTGATAGCAAAAATAAATGGGAAAAACAGCCTCAGCAGGCAATTTGTAGAAAGATTTGTTCACATTGCGTAAAATTTGTGATATCTGAGTTATAGAAGCAATCAAAAATACCTCCAACGCCTATAACACTCATGAAATTCAGAAAATGAGAAGTCGGAAAATATGACATGATTATTTTTTTCTTTTTATTAAATTTTGCAGAAAAATAGGATTGTTAAATCTTTCATCCATACCGCATTTCATTTCATCTTGACCGACCTCATTACTGTTTTTATGCTCATCATCCCTGAAGTATATTCAGAAATTAAAGTGTTAATTAATTGAGACAGTGAATATATTAAATTGTAAATTGAGTTCTGGTGAGGGTCACCTAATCATTACTCTTTGTTTTTCAATCCCATATCATGAGCTTGTAATTAGCTTTTATTTACCTAATGTTGGATCATACCACTTATGGGAGAGGGGTAGATATTCACATGCAATTTAAGGGACAATGTGTTCGATATTGGGATGGGTTATTTTACATTGTAGTATGTAGTAAAGGTGAATTTCAATTCATGCACTGTTTTATGACTATATTGAAAAATACATTAAAATGGAGTTTGAATTCCTGTGTGATTTGCTACATGTCAACACTATACACACAATCTTTTTTACTTTAATTCAGAGATAAATATTAGCGAGAGTGATGACAAACAAAAATAATATGTGTGCACATAATATTATATACTGTAGAAGACTTTATTTTAGCTGGAATTAATTTTTGCAGAAAAGGCTTTTTGGGTGTTTTGTATGGAATTTATTTTCACTGATTTTTGAGGAGTTGAATGTGAAATCATCCGAAAATAAATTCCAAGTGAAAATAAAGTATTCTACAGTAGTCAAATGAAATACCTACTATATTTTTGGGGAAATGGAAAGTGAATTTTATGCAGATAAGCCCATATTTTGTAACTTTCCAGTTCTCGGTGTAGTTTTATTCATTTACACTATCAAGACACAATATATACCTTCTGTTGTGACAGATAATGGGCAGTATGTATTCATATAAACTTGTATTTTTTTTGATTATAGATAATATATTTAAAGAAGACTCCCGAGGAAGCGTATCGTCCTCTGGTAGCTGGCAATAATCCCCCATATTTACCATTCAGGTAAGAATAATATTATTTTGTGAAAGTGTATTATATATTGTTTTGGATTTCATGCGACAGTAGTCAATAAAACGTAAATTGATACTTTACTGCTGCAGGCATCAATTTCTTATTTATGTAGGTAGCCTTGTGGCACTGTGTTCTGTGTGATTATCAGTATACTGTATTTTATGAGAAACAATGTGGAATTAGGAGCACACCTTAAGCAAAAATCTCTTTCACTGTACAATTGTATGTTAAATAATTTTTTACCATAAAGTGATATTTTTCCATCTTCCGTTGCTATAGCTACATGTACAAGTATTGTTACCATAAATTCACCTCTGTGCTATAATTTTGTGTCTGAAACAAATGCAACTTATACTGAAACGTTAACTTTTTTTCAACCCCATCGTTATAGCTACCTTCTAAATTGGACAATAGATAATAATAGAGCAAATATGTTGATGTTAAAAATACATAAATATATTTTTTTCTGTGCGCTATGTTGAAGCCCTTTTAAAAAGATAGCATTGACAAATCTTCCGGTGTGAGCTAGGATAGTTTCATCAACAAATGTTTTGAGAATAATAAATGTCTCAACTACAATGTATCTTTGCTGCTTACAGTTGTCCGGTATTAGCAGCTGTGTTGTTCACCATGCCTAATAAACATTTACTAACATTCTCTAATCAATATTGCAAGTATCAGTTATTTTTGTTACTTATTCAAATTAAATTTTTTGATCCAAGGTTACTCACAAAATATGTGAAGTTTTTATTAACTTTTAATTTTTGGAATTCACTTTGTTTACAGTTTAAAATTTTTCCTGCAGAGAATTGTATGTTGTTAATCATTCCTACTTATTGCATATGTGAAATGGTTTCATATTTCAGATCAGCTGACAAATTTTCTATATGCAGTGATGATAATTAATACTCTCCTAATGCTATCGTATTTTGTTATTTAATAATATTTAATGTTGGATTTAGTTTCATCAGGGATTCTGGTATGATTGCACAAGTCAGAGCATGGGTGAGCAAACTGGATATCAAAACAAACACATCAAATCCAGCATAGACAATCTCTGTACCGTATTTGCTCTATTAGAATAGCAGATATAATAGCACATTAACCTCAAATCAGCAGCATTTTTTTCATTACATAATTTTTTTTAGGAAGCATGAGAATTTATGTGCTAGATTATTATTGTTCAATCAATCATCAGTATTTGTTATGTTAATCGAGTCCATTCAAATAAATCACCAAATCTGTTACAACATCATCTGAGCTGTTAAATGCAAGTTTTCAGATTTGTGCTTGGTATGATAAACTAGGTATCAATAACCATTAGACTTTATAATGTCTGGCATTAATTCAAATCTTACTGTTTATTTTTTTATACAAATGGCTTCCATTTCTAAACGTCATTCAATGCTGCAAGTTTTTTTCTACATGTAGACATCTAACAAATAATGAATCCAAGGCATGCATGTAACCAAATGACTAGAGTGAAGTTTTCTTTCCCTTGCCTCATTTCCAATCTGTTCATGCAAGTTGTTTGTCCATATATAAAGTCAACCATTATTCAATTTGCTTTTCTTTTCATTTTCAAATTTAGGTCATCTATCAATATTCATAACATGTAAGAATGTTCCATTCAATGCATGGGGGTTGAAGACACAATTGGATGAGCAGGGTTAAATTGTTTTATTTATTATTTAAAATTATTCTTTAAAATTGGTCTATTAATATTCAATTTTGACAATTTTGACTGCAATGTATACGCATGACATATATTCAGTGTAGCGTGCATTATGTGTAATGCCTGGGTATAAGTATATCAAGATAAATGTGGTAATACATAAACTACAATACAATACTACCGTGGGCTGTTTAATTTTCACAGCTAGAAATGCCAGTGATTTGATAATTTAAAGATGTTCTTGAAGATAAAATTTCACTGACTGGATGTATTACAGTAAAATTTCACAAAAATGAATGACTCTGGATTTAACCCAGTAAAATTTTACAAAATGACTACAAAATTTCACAATTCTCACTGTATCTTGAAATTTGCAAGATTTTGTCTATGTGAAATTAACATTAAGTTTGTCCTTCATTGTATTATGAATAATTTAATATACAAATTTGATCTTTGTGAGTTTAAAATATTGTTTGTCACGGGTCTTGTTATGGTTCTCTTGCTCCCATGAGAGCCGTGTGACCATGATGTTTTATATCTGTGATTTGTACTGATTTCATTTTACTTGGCTGATGTAGATCTAATGCTTGGCTGTTACTGTGTGTGTCTCGAAGGTTAGGTAACAATTTGGGATTACCGAAATGTGTTGATAAAAAGCATAAATCATCCCGTGTAACTGATTATGTCATAATGGTGTTTTATCACTACAATATCAGTAAAAATGTTGACAATGGAAAACAAATGTCAGGCATGTTGTACAAAAACAGACTGCTACAGATTAACATTTTGTACAACCACAATCAGTAACATCAGTACATGCCCACTTCTAAATCTAAATAATATTCATGCTTATAGGAATATATTTGTCATTCACTACATGCTTCAGTATCATCAGGTTGAAATCAGAATAGGAGTGGGTGGATGTTTGGGTGAGTGGGTTGGTGGCATACACGTGACAGCTCATATGCTTGTAAACTTATTTACATATTGATTGTATGAAGTAGTATGGTCTTTTCAATCATATCAACACAGGACTCGGTGTTTTCGCTGGAAGCCAAACAAATAAGCTGTTATGTTTTGTTGGTCACATATACCATTTGCAATGGTCTTGATAATAGGGTGTACTTTGACCCTATAGGGTTATTGTGTTTTTGTATTTCACTGTCGCAGTGTCAGGTAGTGAGCTTCCTAACAGTTTTATGGCAACGGTCTTTCACAATAACTGGTATAACAGTCGTGACTTAACAGCTCTGTATTCCAGTAACAATCTTTTAGTACCATGACACGTATGCTATTTTTGACAATGATTCAGGGCTCTATCCGAATCACAAATTACCGGTATACAAAAATAAAACGTGCTATAACTTTGGTTGTCTTTAATGTGTACTTAGTTTGGTTGGTTTGTTTATTATTGTTGTCATGGAAACCACAAAGGGTGTTTTAATTTGTTTTCCGTATGTACTTTTTCAAGACTGCCACATCTCAGAGTTTTAATGGTTTCCAGGTTTCCTTTTAGTCTACATTTATTTCATTCTATATGTATGTTGGTGGGTGTTGAGTTTGGTGAAAAATAAGGATTTCAAAAGCTTAAGAATTGTGTGTCTTTTTTTTAAACTGGATTTCCTGTTTGGTACATACAAATTCATTACACACTAGGTTATTATTTTGCTGTATCACTTGATAAGTGCTATCTAAAAGAACCTGGAATTTGAATATACCGGTACTCTTGTCCTAAAATAGTGGAAATCAATCAAAGTACAAGAAATATTACATTTTCACTGAATGTTTGTTTTAGTTTTGCTGATTTTACTGTCTTGAATGGTTTTATTAATTTATTACCCCCCCCTCCTCCTCCAGCAAACATGTCTGTGGGCCAACATAATCTCTGTGTAACAGTGGTTGCCAGCATACCACTGTTGTGAGAAATGTCCATGCAGTTACCTGTGTTTACTTTAAGTTCAGTTTTATTTCAGTTTGTAAGTTTGTTTGAATCCAAAGAATTGTTGCCATTAGATGATGTTTTCAGAGACTGTAAGATTTCCTAATGTTTTCTGTGACTCCCACTCCAAAGAAGCCCAGTGACACAATCCTGTAGTTCACTCCTGTTGTGATTAACTGTTAACAGGACTTTTGCAGAAGCTCTGGCAATAAAGCAAATACAATATACAATTCAACTAATTACGTACCAACCCTTTTCGCTTTTTTCACCCAACCCCCATTTATAAAATTCCTGGCTATAGTTTCAATTTAAACAATTTATGGATTTAACTGCACCCTAGATACTGGGTAATATTCGCCTATTATTCAACTCCAACCCCCTACTGTGTTGGCTCTGTTGCCAAATTTCTCTAGAATACTGTAATGCGTGTGCAGTTGCTGACACTGTGAGCGGTCTCTTTACATGGCCGAACAATTAAAGAGCTAACATGTTTCCAGGTTACAGCGAGATACAAAGCAAGGATGTTGTCCCTATTGTTATAAAAAAAAGGACAGACCGGTATTCCTTCAGTGTATTTACCACTTATGCAAACACTGGTACAATTATGTGCTTTCTCCCCAACCTTGCCTTACTGTGTTTAAATTTCTACCTGTATATAACTGTACATTTTGCTGACATCTCATGTTTGTAGAGTAGCTTAACAAGTCAGCATGGACACAATTTTATCCTTAGCAGTTATCCATTCCAGTGCTCTGACGTAGCGGGTTTCTATTACAGCTGTATTTGAAATGTAATTTTCCCATACCGTGTTGTTACAGACTAATGGCATTAAACTGATTGCCTTCAGTTGTATTAACCCTGATTGGAAAATTGCTTGTCAATTTATTAAGCCCCAAGGTATAATGTTCAATTCATTACTGGGGCACTGGAGTGTATGGAATAATTTACTTGGGAGTTCAATGGTATGCGGCTTACAAGTCAAATCTGTTACCCTACAGGCTTGGTTAAGAAATACATAGTGATTATCTCCATGTGACCACAATAGTCAAAATACTGCTGTTATTTCAAACATAATGTCACAATATGAGTACGGTAATTCGTTTTTTGCTGGAACTGGTTTCTTGTAAAAATTTCCAAATCTGGAATTGTGCAAGATGCAAATGCAAATGAGAATTTGTAGATGGGGGTTTAGTGGTTGCCACGTGCATGCTCTAAAACAGTCTACATAAACAATGAATACTTCAGAGAAATGTCTAACCTATTTATTGCAAGTAGATTTTCCAAAATGTTCTATTGTTGTATATATAATTGTTATTTTTATATAGATATCGATTAATATTAACCAAAAAATATATCTGATTACAATAAATATGATTACCAGTTACTTTCTCAATCAGTCTCTACAATGTAGAATGAAATCCTGTTTCATTTGTTGCTATAATTGTTTTATATGACTTTGGATTATTTATATTTGACTGTGTGTCACCTGTTGTTGGTGCCATGTGTGAGGTCACCTCTCCTCATGTTTCTATGTACACAAGATATCTAGTGCTAATATTTCTTTCAACTCATCTATTAACTTTTGACACCATTTCATAAATCATAAGATTAAGGAGGCTGGGTATCGATGATTCATTTCGTCATGATGCACTTTGTTGCATTTTGTTAATTAATGCTGCTACCCACTTTCCCATGACCATCGTAATACTGCCTTTTTAGCTATGCATGAAACTGCAATAATCTTAAGTGGAATTCAGATATGTGCTTGTAATAATGGAAATTTGTACAGGTACTTTAACACCTGAATGCTACACGAAAGAGACATTATTCTCACACTTTAATTCCTGTATTTAGAATTTTTTCTTTCTCTATATGCACTCATTTGGTGTTGTGTGTGTCTTTTTCTGATAAAACTCAAAGAGAGCACTTCTGTTGAATAAAAGACAATTTGGTTCATCAATCTGCCACATTTGTGACGATAAAGACTTGCAGATGTTTTAGGCACAATGCATTGTCCATTCACTGTCTCCTGATGTTTTCTGCACACACAATACCATAATTTCCTGGTCTGTACAGTACATTGAGAAATGCATGTATCGTATTTGAAAATGCATGTGCTTACATCATTTTCTTAAGTGTGCTTATTTTTTTACGCTTTTTAATTGACAGATTCATGAATATGAATTTTTAATGAGAAATTATTGATGCAAACGGTTGACAACAACAAGAAACCTAAACGACATTGTTGCACTATAATTCTTATGATTAAAATAAATCATGTGTTTAGCTTACATGATCTTCTAATAAAGATAGAGCTAATATGGTATTCCACTTTAAGCTGACACATTACATCATACATGCTGGTCTAAAAATAGTTCTGGTCACAGGACACCAATCGTTTTGCACCTGAAAATGTTGGAATTTCACCTTATCTGATTTGGTAAACAATAACAGCATTGTGTACTGCTGTCTGAGTGATATATGATCTAAAAATATGTGGTCAAGAATTTGCAGGTATAGTTTACAATAAGGCAGCTTCGTTTCCTTGTTGGCTAACAATTTCAATTCTAAATTTTAATGACAATTTGAAATTTGTTTAAAAATACCTCAACAAATGTCAGAATTAAATTTAACACTGGTAGCTTGAAACATTTATAGCCATTAAAAATTCAACTAGCCTATCACATAGGGTTTAACCTTCATCCTGCCAAATCCATGTACAATGTACTTATGTATCGACTTAACCAGTTATGGTTTAAACTTGCGTGTACAATGTAATATTGCGACTTACACACCCCTCTCGTGTCAACCCCTTGAACTCTAACCTAACTTCTTCCATAATTTGAGTGTGCAATATTTAATACATTTCTATCTATGTTTTTAAACTTCTTTGCTAATTACAGACCAAATTAGTCATTTCTTTAAAGAATTATGGAAAGAAAATGTGGGTTTTGTAAAAGGCAACTAAAGATGACATGAACAAAGTGTCACTAAGGGCATCAAGATATTTAGGTGTAGGGCATCAAGATATTTGACTCCACATGCATTTCCTTGATCATTAAATATTCAAGTTGTTTTATGCTTGGCTGGTTTTATGCTCTTGCTCCTAGGAAGAGTAGTTTTAATTCTTGATTAAAATGTTTTCAATTTTCTGCCTGATGGACACCTATCATCTTTTCATACAAAATGTCTTATGGGCCTCTCGCCAGGTTGTTTTACATCCTGAGTTCATTAACATGGAATGCAGTTGTGTTCTTTCCACGTATGAAAACTCCTTTTTTGTAAATAGGGATAAGGAGGCTCATAATCAGTCATAATCAAACGTGGTTCAAGGTGTGTTCAATTGCAGAGATTAATTTTATACCACAAAGATTATTAATATTTAGAATGGTTGCTTTCAAAGATATACAATAGCAGAGCCTACCATCTTTGATATATGCAGATGGGTGGGTGTGTGCACTGAATAGGACTAAAAGAACTATTTTCACATAACATAATACATGCATGTGGATCAGAAATTGTTCGTAAAGTTTACAGTCTATGAGACAATCGTCTTGTATATTCAAGGCGTATAAGGCAGAGATACAAAATATTTTGTTCTCTGTTTACATGTAGTGCACATACAACTTTACAACTCTAGTACAAGTTCTTCCTCATGTGACAAGGTTCATTATTTTGTTCATAAATTGCTGAACGATGTGATTTGAGTACATGTATAAATGCTGCAATCAGTGCCATGGTCAGAAAACATTCCTACTGTTCACCCAGTCAATTCTGCAGTAATGACTTAAATTATTTTGACAAAGAACTGTTTAAGGAGGTGGTTTTCCTGAAAAGCCAAAATCTGAAACGACCAAAGCAATAACATTTGGCACAGGAAATTCCATTGGTAATTTACATGCATATAAAAGTTCACTCAATTCGTGAAAACCTTTTTATTCGTCTGAAACAAACGATTGTTATTGCGCTGTATATATGGCACAGAATAGGAACAATAGGCTTTATTGCCATGGTTACCAATAAATGTGTTTGGTAGTTCATATAATGCAAACTGCCAATGACCTCGTGTTTTCATTGCTGCAATTTATCTACCATTGTGTCATGTCTAATACTCTTAAATATACGTTTATAAGTTTGTAAGAATATGACACTTTGAATGAGGTCATATGTTATTATTGGGACATAGTTCAGTGGTTATATGAACATTGAATGGATTCCTGGACTGTTGGGTGTCTTGGTTTTGTTAAATCTTCGAATTATCTGATTATTTAATATTGCTTTTTGTTTATTTGATTGAAAAATAAACTATGCAACCAATACTAACCACAAAGTTTTCCATCCATTTTACTCTGTGAACTCATACATTTGTACATGCATATCTTTCATGCATTTTTGTCTTTGCACTTTATATCACTGCAATGTGAGTGACTGCATTGAAATGAAACTGTCTATTCTGGTATGAAGAGTGAGGATTTGGTTATGTGTAGTCAGCTTCTTTCTGTCTTGGACCTCTTTGGAAATGAGTAGGTGCTCAGACGTAAGAGCTCCTATAAAATGAACAAATAATCCTATAATATATAATCCCAAATATAATAAACACTTCACACTATATTTATATAAACCAAGATTGTCTGTTCTGTAGCCACTTTGGTTTTGAGCATCACTTTCAAACCTGGTCCATAATCATGTGATAATATGAGGTTATTATGAGAATACTGCAAAAGTATGCACAAAGGTAGTACAATGTTTATTTTGTTGGACGTGTAGCAGAGGTGGATGCCGTCCGGTATCACTGGAGTACATGCTTTGCTACATTCTCGTGATAATCTTTATCATTCAAATTCTTTGATCATTCATTGATATAATTTTATTTTAGTTACACGCTAAATTGTTGCTGCATAAACATAAGACAAATTTTCCAAATAAAAAATACTTTTCAACGCGTTCATACATCATTTTACAGACTTCTATTGTTTTTGCTGACAGATGTATGATAATGAGGTTATTACAGGGATACTGCATTAATTAATTATTCTGAATCATGTCATGTCTCGTACATTAATATTTAATAATTTTTTCCTCTCAATTTCAGGGATGCATCGTTCGGTTCGTGTACATACAATCTTACACTTTTAGACTGTCTGAAAGCAATAGATAGAGCTTTAGACAATGGTTTCTTTCACTTTGATACATTTGACGTAGAGGAGTATGAACATTATGAGGTAAGTTCATGTCACTTAAGGTCAAACCAAGTCCAAATTCTTCCTGGGTTTAACTCCTAAATAGGGTTAACCACTTTACTGTCCCTGGCCTCTAATGCATATGACTTTGGGAGACTCAGGATTTACACAGTATTAGCGCATTGGATATTTTTGCCATAACAAAAGGTCAGGAGAAACAACTGTGACATTCAATGACAGAAACTGTTGCTTGGCTATAATATTATTAATTACAATAAACAGTATTTGTATTTTATTTGTACTGATTCACCCACCTATATAAATAAGCAACAATAAATTCCAAGTGAAACTATGTACATGTAGTAGACTAAGTGGGATCAAGCATAAGGATTTAAGAGAAGACTGCAAACATTATATTAAAATTGTGGCGTTGTTGCAGTAATGGTCAGGGCTTGTACATGTATCGGTATACAAGGATCTAAGGATACCCAATTTCAAGCATAAAAACTGCTAAAAATGCCTTGCAATGATTGCACTTATGGAGAAAATTAACAGTGTATGGGAATTCTGAAGACACTAAAATGTTGGGGGCCTTTCATTCCATTTATTTTATTTATAAAATGTGAATTTTTATTTTACAAAATTACTTATTCCATACCTAAATTAAGATGTTTTTTAATATCTCTGTTAATGCATGATTTTTTGTTGCATCAATGACGTACCAGAAAATTAGCATAATTAGTTGCATCACTTGAAGTCTGTGTGTCAGGGATGTATTCTGAGACAATTTGTGCTTTGATTCAGCTTGAAAGATAAACTAAAATACAGTAAACTGGTTTTCTTTTGCAAGGAAAAAATTGTTGTAATCCCACGAGTAAGGGAAAATCATATCATTTGGTAGAAGTGAACATTAGAAACTATGGATGCAGCTGTCAAGATAGTTTTTAATAGGTTTCACTCACATAGGTTTGATATTTGGTCCATGAGAATGGTCTCAATTCATCAAATGTTGAATACTTCTTGCAGGCAACAATTTAAATTTAATAATGGTATTAATTAGTTTTTTTTTTTTATTGATTTCTGTCAAGTTTTTGTATTGATCTCTGTAAAATACTGTTTTTTGGCTGGAATTAATTTTCACTGAAAAGGTTTTTTGAATGTTTTTTTATGGAATTTATTTATACTGATTATTGATGAGTTGAATGTGAAATACGGTATAGAAAAAAAAGGTATATTTGCTGGATTTTATTTTCACTAAAAAATCCCTTCAGCGAGAATAGCCAAAATAAAATCCAAGCAGAAATAAAGAATTTCACAGTATTTTTTTTTTTTTTATATGTCAAAACCTTTGTGAATAGGAAAGGATGTGTGTTTGTTATTAAAATAGCTTTTGTGAATTGTGTGGGTGTGTAGATGACGACATGGCAGCCATGTATGTGTACTAAAGTGAAACTGTATAAGCTGTATCAACATAGCAAAGTAAATATAATCATTAGACCTGCTATACCACAACCACTAACGATCCAATTAACTTACAGTCATATAATTACCTCCTGGTGAGATCATCGATAAAGTATTGCCTTTTGATATTTTTAATGTAAAGTGTTACTAAAAATACTACCATTAGTAAGGCCTAACAAATATAAAGTTGTGTTTGGCGATCCAAATCATGTTTATCAATTTCCTGTTTACTAGTGAATACTATAAGAATATTAAAAATATAAAAATGGAATATGATATACATGTAATATAACAATGGGAAAATAATTAGTTGTCATCTGGTCAATGAATGAAAACATTTTAGTGGTATTTTTGTTGTCTGTTTAATTATACCAAATTAAATAAATCTTGGTAAAATCACATCTGTGAAGATGCCAGCTATGTCATCAGCACCATCACAATATTTCCCACACTTGAGTTTACAAATATGATTATGCAATTTCTGTACCTTGTTTTTTTCCACTAATACAATACATGTTTTAATACCAACCAGGCTCTGTTTCGTGTGAAATTATTTGATATATATGCAGTGTTTACAATGTGTAAATTAATTAATTGTTCCCTAGATATTTAATTTAATCATTTCTGTCTGGTTGTTGTATAAATATCATGTTATTACATTATATTGTAAGCAGATCTTCTCAAATATGTATTACGTGAAAGGATATTAAACTGCTACATTTATTCTTAGCAAAGTGATTTGTGAGTAGAGACTGTTATGGTCATATGACATAAAGTGCATACTGATTGCTTCAATTCATAGTTTTTTGACCATTATCTAAACAACATTCTGACCAAAACTACACCAAGCATTACTTTGTCACTGCTAATCACAAGTAACTATTCAATTATTTGTTTTTAATTAATTACTATGTTACATGTGTATGTGCAGCAGGCACACATCGCTTTAAATGTGTATGTTATATTTAATCATATTGTCAAATCATAGACCATAATAGGCCATGGTCAAACTTCCGATGAAGGAATTACTAATAAATTCATAAGGTCATTTCCATGGTTACAGGCTATTTTTAGCCACAAAGTGGATGGGTCATTGATTGGCTGAAAAATTAATTATGTTATTGGTGGTTGGATTATACAAATGTAGTTATTATGCTCTGTATTAATTATGTTTAGAGTATAAGACAATATAAAAATTGAGTGGTTATATCTTGATGTAGTGTGTGGATGATCAAATTATTCTTCACAATGACGTATAATTAACTACTCATCTGATATCGTACTGAGGCAAATCCTTTATTATCAGCAGTTAAAAAAAAAATTTCATTTAAATAAAACATATAATCTGTTATACTTATACATCTTCTAAGAACCACTTTTATGTTGAATGGAACCTTTTTGCGTCTCTTCAACAATCTGCTGTAAACGTGTTGAAATAGCTATATGCAAATTTAGCAAATTTGATGCATAAATTAACAAAATTATAATTTAGATAAAGTGTCAACTATCTCATTATGAGAATATACTTTATTTTAATTAGCAATATTTCTTATTACCTAAAATAACATGCTAGCCAAAAATACATGTTTTACAATATGCTTGCCCAAGTTAAATTAGACCTGTTTTGTCACTCTATGTACCATTTGTGCTTGTAATTTGTACATAAGCAAGGTCAAGAGACCAGAGTAATATTCGATGTCTGGAATGGACTCCTAAAAAAATATACTTAAATACAAAAATAATCAGTGATACTAGCTTAAATAGCAGTTAGTAAGCCATCAAAAAAAGGTTGCTTTCCTGTTCTTAAATGTTTGAAAATAAACTGTTTTTATTGTGTTTGCTTTTAAAAGTTCGCATTCAGAAATCTCCACTTCCTGCAACAGTAACTATGTAATGCTTGCATGGGGGATTAGTTCATCAGACTCTTTTGAAAACAGCTAAATAATGTGTGACATCTAGTATTCAAAATGTCAGGTTATATACAACCACAATGGAGTTACCATGGCAACATTCTTATGACCGGGTGCACCATGTTACAGAAAAGTCTTTGGCAGTATTTCTCATACAAATAGTGATTATGTAATTGTCATGTAATTCATTTATATGTCTATCTTTAAAATGAAAAATCACTTTTTTGGTATCTTTTTTGATTCCCTATTCTCTATTAGTAACACTTGTTTTACCAGTTGTTATCCATTAAGAGATGCCTACTGCACATTTTCATTGTCACTATGGAAACAAACAGAGAGAGAACAACCAAAACTCATTCTAGCAGATGTCACTATATTTTATTATTGTTAAACTATTTTTTGTGATTATTTTTGATTTATTTAAAATTGATCATTGTTGCATTAAATGAGTAAATACAAGGTGATACCAGACCTTGTTTTTTTAAATGGCCTGGAAGATTAAAATGGCACTTCTGAATATGGTAACACAGGTGAATATGAGAGCTACAGTTTTTAAACCTTTTCATAATGGTATGGATTTGGGAATAATAGTTAACTTATCTGGATTTTAAATTTGGGCGAGTAGAGTGATCACTGTCTTATAATCTATCAGATCACATGACATAACATATACATTATATCATACAGAGGGATTTACATCGTAACATTTTATCCTATATGTATCTGTACCACAAAGACGTTTGTGACTTTTGTGATATATTTAGGCCACACTGATTTAATTTTATGGATGACATCCTCTGGAGACCCAAAAACTAATGCGAGAGGGCGAAAAAAAAAAAAATTCTGCCAAAAAAAAAAAATGCTGCTAAAACCACAGGACTGCGGAGCTGGTATTACGAATTGAACCACAGAACAGAGTGTACTAAAAAAATAACAAGAAGTCTTTATTTGTAGGAGGCACATGTTGATGTACACCTTTCGCACTGTATTACTGTCACATGTATAACCATTTCAGACAAGCTCTAGTACATGTAGTCATGATGAAGTATCTTCAGTCAGAAACACTGCATTCAAGGTACAGCATGAACACCATATTCAAGTCAAGGCAGAATGTACACATGTACATGTTGTACATATCACTACTTTATGACAATAACTAACAAAACATTGCACTGTGTGTGCAAGCAAATTATCCGAACCAGAAAATAAGAAGAAAATTTTCTTCGTCTCCAAAGCGGAACTTCCTCTGCTTTCTTTGCAGTTTTGTCGACTTCAATGCTAACAAAACAACCGAACTGACTTGTTGCCTGACCAACTTTTAGGCCATCATACACCTCCACTCCTCTCCCATTTCTCTCATCATTGCAGAAGAAACGCGGGATAGCCACTCTGGACAATATGTCCTTAAAGTTGTCTGGGCGAAACTCGCTTGCCGCTACCAATCTCTCGTATAGCTGTGTAAACGCCACATCTCCCTGGCCGACGTCAATTGCGTACCAGTCTACAACAATCCCTCCGTTTTTCCTCTGAACTTTTATGCTCACGTATTTTGGTGGCGTGGTCGCCATGTTGGAATCATTTACGACAAAATTGGCATGTTTTGAGGTAGTCCAAATCGAGTTTTACGACAAGCCGGCGCTTTGTGGCAATATGAGTCGGCAAGTTTCGACAGAAAACCGATCTGTGTAGACTCGTCGGAGATTTTTTTTGTTTTTTTTTTGAGAACAGACGAAAACTAATGCGCGCGCGGATGTCATCCATAAAATTAAGTCGGTGTGGCCTTATGAATATAAAAATATGAAAATGAACAAAAAAATGCATATTTGATGGAGTAAATGATGAATTGCATGTACAGAGCTTCATTCACTTGTTTCACCTTTCACGTAAATATTAGACTTTGTCAACTCTCTTCGTGTCACGGAGGTCATCTTAGGGCATGATTTGCCAGTCACCTATTACTGATTATCCAGCTTATGCAATACAATAGCCTGTCTGTGTTGATAATCAAAGAAATGACTAGATGCAGCTGTATCACATTTCTCTATGTATTATCATTGTAGTACAGTGAATAGTAGTACTCAGACTATTTCATTTCTATACAAAAAGAATTTATATTTTTGTAGTTAGGTTAACATATAGATGAGACGTTTCAGCAAATCCAGCTGTGTGAGTGATATTGTTACTTTTTATAGAAATTGCATTAAAATACATATTGTATAATTTTATGTCAGAGTTGACTTAGTCATGATATTAAAATTACATGAATTACCGTAGCCAGGCCTGTATGTCATTTTTAGTTCTGCAGCGTTGAAGCTATTCATATTATTGGTTGTTTGTCATTGTCAAATTTTACATTTTTGACTTCTCTTAAAAAACTATGGATTTCATGTTACTACAAATGTAACTTGGGTGCTTCTCTTAAAAAACTATGGATTTCATGTTACTACAAATGTAACTTGGGTGCTTCTCTTAAAAAACTATGGATTTCATGTTACTACAAATGTAACGTGGGTGCTTCTCTAAAAAAACTATGGATTTCATGTTACTACAAATGTAACTTGGGTGCTTCTCTTAAAAAACTATGGATTTCATGTTACTACAAATGTAACTTGGGTGCTTCTCTTAAAAAACTATGGATTTCATGTTACTACAAATGTAACTTGGGTGCTTCTCTTAAAAAACTATGGATTTCATGTTACTACAAATGTACATGTAACTTGGGTGCTTCTCTTAAAAAACTATGGATTTCATGTTACTACAAATGTAACTTGGGTGCTTCTCTTAAAAAACTATGGATTTCATGTTACTACAAATGTTGCTTCTCTTCCATGCTTTTCTTCATGTTGTTACAATAAAATTAGTTCTCCAGTATTTACCGGTAGTGAATATTTTTGGTAAAAAATGTTATTTCATACTTTTTATTTAAAGACTTCTAGCCTAATTATGTTTATATTTTATATTTACAAATGAACCTTGGGTGGACCTCTGCAAGATTTGTTTGTTCATTTCGTGACAATAACATCAATTCTCTAATTTTAAGTCAAAATTTTTGTAATTTTTAGTTAAAATGTCATTATCAACATTTTGAAAAAACTACCAGCCAGATTGCCTTTCTATATGTCTGTATGAGGTACCTTTGCTGACTTGGTGACAGTTATTTTTAATTCTCCTGTGTATATCGTTTGAGACCCATATTGACCAGAGTGTGATGACTTTGTTTCTCTGAATAGTGTTTAAATTCTCCTCAAATCATTTTAGACAGAACATTCTACTTTTGATATATAATACAAACATGTACCCTTAATAATTTCACAATACTTCTATTAATGTCAAGGTCATAATAGTTTAACTGTCAGTAGAGCTGTATCAGTTGACAAGCTGCAAGTTATTTCAGTTGAACGTGTACTTGACTTATCAACAAATAGATGCAAGTTGTTCAATGATGCTACTCAAAACACAAATCGACAAAGCATGAGAATCGTTTCAAATTTTGCAGAAAACATGTTGATATCAACAAGGACAAAATCTGCCAAAGTCAGTGACCTTTCTCAGTCACACAATTTTTCACTGCTACACGGATTTGCAAACAAATAGACCATTTTCCGTACACTGCGAGAATCACGCGTTATGCGTGAAATCGAACGAAAAAACAGGACAAACAAAGGTCATAGCGTCGTAGTGGCGTCAAACATCGCGTGGGATTCGACAAACGCGAAAGTATTTTGGGGACATTTCCATGCTTAATAGTGTGCTGTCCACATTTGATGATAGGCAATTTCGATTAAGTCAGGGTATTCGGAAGCAATATTCCTCTGTCGAAGATCGGCCGGTCGGTGTGAGCTACGAAATAAGGAAATTCGAGTTCAAAATCAAATCGTTCTATTTTTGCGGCAGACGTTCGACGCGCGTCTTTCATGCATCTCGCGAGATCTCGCAATTGTACGGAAAATCCCCTATTGGGTGTACAGTATTGTTTTGTGTTACATCTACTGATTTACATTGATTGTTTGTTTTTTTCCTCAGAGAGTGGAGAATGGTGATTTTAACTGGATCATACCGGATAAATTTCTTGCATTCAGTGGGCCACATAATAAAAGCAAAATTGAAAACGGTAAGTGGATATTATCTGTAGTATTTATCATATCGCAATTATCTGAAGTAGCTGAATCTTGATTAATCCCATGTGACAACTTGTGATAACAGAACCTTGTTTACTTTACCTATAATTTGTCGTGTCATTTTTGCAGGCTACCCACTTCATGCTCCGGAAGCCTACTTCCCATACTTCAGGAAACACAACATTACAACTGTAGTGCGGTTAAACAAGAAAAATTATGATTCCCGGCGGTTTACAGATGCAGGATTTGACCATCATGATCTTTTCTTTATTGACGGCAGTACGCCGAGTGATGCACATGTTCAGAGATTCTTGTCAATCAGTGAAAATGCTGAGGGCGCTATTTCAGTACATTGTAAAGGTGAGAAAAATACACCCAATGCTTGCTCGATTTGATCTAGGTGGCCCTGAGTTAATCATGGCTGAACTGAGGGGCCCACAGTGCTTCCCATGATCTATTTGGCAACTTTTAGTTGTCTTTATTTTGTGTAAACTCATTGGTACATATACATGTATCAGTTTGCACACACATAAGTTGCCCCCCCTTTTTTTTTAAAAAAAACCTGATTAGAATTAATATACAGTAGGTAATGTATAAGTCATTATTATTATTGATTACAAATGTTCCAAAATTAACAAAATTTGTAGAAAATACATGAAGCTCCAAAGTGTTGCACAAGTTAAAAGGTTTTATTATGTCTTGTAATCCTATGTCCATGTTATGTGCACACTTGATTTGTAGTTTGAAATTTATATTTAATCTTGGGTCAAAACAGGTTGTACATATGTACATATATTTCACTTGTTTATTTTTGTCTCACTTTGTTGTACAGCTGGTCTTGGTAGAACTGGTACACTGATAGGTTGTTACATGATGAAACACTATAAATTTACGGCAGCAGAGACGATAGCGTGGTTGAGAATATGCAGGCCTGGATCTGTTATAGGACCACAACAAAATTACCTTGAGGAGTGAGTATTATATTTCTGAATTACTTCACAAATTTAATGCAGTAACTATAACAATAACAACTGTTGGTCCTGTGTATTGTTCCACAGCCCATGTTAAAAAACCCAGTTAGACTCGTCATAAAGGGTGATTGATTCAGATAACAGTACACTGAAACACTGAAATGAAAAGTGTCTGTTCAAAATAACAAAAAAAAAAGATACTGCAAAATATTGGTTTAATTATAATGTAGTGGTGTTTTGTGTCTTTTCCCAGGAAACAAGCAAGTATGTGGGTACAAGGTGATATCTATAGGAAAAAACTGAAAGAAGGACGGCTAACGAACAAATCTAGTGTAACAAAGATACTCTCAGCAGTAGATGACATATCAATTGATGATTCTGACAGAGGCTACTCTAAAATGGAGGTAAGAAAAAAACAAAATTTTATACATACACTTTTAGTAGTCTCTTCAAATCGCAGTCACAATTCCAAACTGTAAGACCCAATCTGTGGTAAAAGGTACTCAATAATGCATATATTAAGTGGTACAGGTATTTGGGGGGAAATTGTAAGATCATGAGCACAGTTTGTTGTTCATTATAACAAGGTAACAGTGTATTTCTAATTTTTTAATCCAGGTGACACATCGATGCACCAAATAATCTTTCAGGTCACATAATCTTTAATTATCAATACACATCATGCAGTAGGGCGGAATATTTTTCCCCAAAACAAATTTGTTTTCCATCGGACTAGTGCTGTATGGTAACACTTGACTACCTGTGTTTTCTTTTGGTACCACTTAAATTCTTATTGTCTAGTATCACATGGATTCAAAAAATGCAGTTGAAGCGTCTTTATCATATTTGAAAACACTGCTGGTGTATAGCAGTGATCTTGTCACTTTATTGAAATAGGATTCAGAGAACAAGCTGTTCTTTGCTTCTGTCTGTCTTCTTCCTATCACCATTATTCTGTATTCAATGTTTTGACCAGTAGCTGTGTAAGACTTCCACACTAAATAAACATGACATCCAGCGTTGGTGAATATATATTTTTATAGTGGGATTTAGTTGATACAAGTTACCATCAGATTGAAAAAAAATCCACATGATACATGACTATTGTGATTGGGTGAACTACATCATATGATAGACATCCACCAATCATCACTCAGCATCTAACATCTTACCTTGTTACAGGATGACGATCTCAATGCTCCTGAGAACGACGATAATCATAATGAGCTTCGTACATTAGATAGATACTACCAGGTAACATTATAGTCCCACTCACTCCGTAAAACTAATCCCAGCTACTGTTTGTGGTGTTTCTGCGTGTAGATTGCTTAACACAACGCCCATCATCGGTCATTTGTTTCTACTAATGTGCACATGTTTATGAAAAAAAAATGCCACATTGCCCCTGGATATTCATGGGCAATGGCAATTATTTTAGGCACTTGCATGGTCCATAACAATTAAAAGATGAGAGAGGGGCATTATATATGCATAACAGAGCCATTTATTATAAATTCACATTTTATTATTATATTCATTGATCATGGATGATCACAGTACGGAAGAAAATGCTATTTCTGGTCAATTTGAGCAGTACGTATAACAGGTATATGTAGCTGAAGTTCTCCAGCAATTGTCAGTAGAGCAGGCAGTCATAAATCCCAATGGAAAACTTCAAGACTGGCCAAACATGCGTACATGGAGCAGCATCATGTTTAGCTCATTAACTGCCAGGTCAATTTCTATCTTAAACATCTGGGAAAAATTAACAATTGATTTGGTATGCAAAGACAGTAAATACCGTAATCAGTGATTATTGTGCATGAAAATGCCCAGTTGCTGAAAACTACCCATCACTCTCTGTGAAGTCTTTCTCATTGTCTTTTCGGATATTTTGACAACTGCTTGTGTCATTAATTATTATTCATATTTTTAGATTTCTCAAAAAGGTTAGGAACTGAATTCAAGGGTTGAAATGCAGAAAACACTGCAATTGACAACACAGACTTCACATGTCACTATTTAATTTTGACTAACACAATGGCATTTAGTGCCATGGTAGGCGGTGTGTATAAGGTGCTTTCTTTGTCACTGTGTGCCTGCATGCTTATTTGTTACAATGTGTTTTTTATTACTTACCTCCAGTGTGTATTTGTTATATTATTTTCAGTAATGGGTGTTTAATTATAAGGTGATTTGATGAGAGACTGGGCTTGGTACTATTATAATGAATTCATATTGCTGTGTTTCATTGAAGCTCATATTTGTAATGGCTTCATTATGTAAAGGTTTAGGGAGTAGCATGTGACATATTTAGTGTAAATTGTACAAATATGACTAAATACGCTTCTGTAAAAATTGAAATATCAGAACTTTTGAAAATGGTTACTTCTATTTATGTAGATTAAAACTCATTTACAACTAATTTGATAATAACCAGACTACTTTGTTTCATTGCATTTTCCTTGTTATGTGCTGTACATATTAACACTGTATAATATCACATACTAGTCAAAGAACATTGTGAATTGAATATTTTATAACTACTGTAAAATACTTTATTTTTCACTTTGAACTAATTTTCGCTGAAGGACTGCTCCAGTAAAAATTAAAATCCAGCAAATATACCTTTTTTCCTATATTTTACATTCAACTCGTCTAAAATCAGTGAAAATAAATTCTATACAAAATGCCCAAAACGTGTTTTCAGCAAAAATTAATTCTAACTAAAATAAAGTATTTTGAATCTACTCATAGATCATATGTTTTATCGAGTCTTACTTAGACCAGCTCATTCCCTAGTTCAGTCCAGTACTCATTCCCCTGCCCTGTTCAGTCCAGTCCAGTTCAGTCTAGTCTAGCCCAGTCAAGTCTGGTCGTTCCATTCGTCTGTCCTGTCCTGTCCAGTCCAGTCAGGACCGGTTTGGTTCGGTCCTCTCCTCTCCGATCCATTTCCCAATCCAGTTCAATCTGGTCTGGTCTGGTCTGGTCTGGGTTAAATGTACAAAAACTTATTCATATACTACTTGTACATTCCTCGGTAAAGTGCATGCAGCAATTATTTTAGTTGTAAGATTACATTGTACAGTATTTTTAGAATATACAGTATTTCTATGTTAGAAAACGTGAAAAGCAGAATACAAATTCATTGGTATAAAAACAATAGTATAACATATTAATGATCACTAGAGGGCAGCTGGCATTTATCTCAGATCTTCTTTCACCCAAGCTCTTCTATGTCAGAAAATTTGGTATTTGGGATATGCATATGCAGTGTTTGGGGGGGGGGGGCTTAAGAAATTTCTTTCTTTTGAAAATATTTGTTTCACTTTTGCTGGATACAAATTTATGTATTCATATTATTCTCATTTCTCTTACAATATGTTAGTAATTATGCAAAATTTTCATTTTCACTCCGCATCTACAACCTCCTTCAGCCCATCTCTCAAGTCTCTTTCACTCTTTAGAAGTTTATCACATCCGAAGTATTTCAAAAGAAAACAAAAACAAAATACTTGTGGGTGCATTGATCAGACGGCCGAAATGGGTTTCACTATATTGGGATAAAACAAGGTTTATGTGTTTGGATATTACTAGTAGTTGTGATTGTTGTTACCCCTTAATTCCTAATTGATCATTCTAATTCACGTGCCCTTTTCCCCGTCATGCATGTGGAGCTGACATCCATGCCACCTTTCCTATAACTTGGTTCTTAATACAACACTCTGAGATTATTCCAAAACCTTTTATTATGGCCTTAGAACTAGTATGTGAAATATTTGATGGTATGATTATGCATGAATTATGGGAAATATTTACTAAATGTTCAATTTCTCAATGATTTACACCATGTTTGAATATTAGTTTTCATTCAGACTTCCAATTTCATTGTATGTTTAATTTCATTTGCTTAAACATTTTGAATAGTGTTTGAAAATAAATTTGAGTTCACAGATTCATGCCCTGCTGTAATTAAAATTTTAATTAATTTCCGTAAATGAGCGTATATCCAATCAGACCATTAAATATGTCACATAATACTGATGATAAAGTAATGTGAATAATACTTTGAGGTGAATGTTGTTGATTATGTGAACAATCTTTGCCAACAAGTATACTGGCTGGCCATTTCCAAAAAGTGATCCCAACATCCATGTGCCCCGTTCTTCCTTCAAGCCAAATTGGTGACTGTACTTGACGTGTTTCTTATGTTGGTTTGTAGGATGCTGATTACAATAGCAGGACAGCACGGCGGTCAGGGGGACTTACACAAGGGGATAAATTGAGACAGTTGAAAGTACAGCGAAAAGCAAGATCAGCCACCACAGGAGCTCTTAAGTAAGTCCACATAGATAACTAGTGTAGCATAGTTATGTATTATAAACCTACAATTAGCTTGTTTTGTCGTAATGTTTACAAGGATAATCTTATTTCTTTAATAACTAATGCAGTGACATGCTTTTAATCATCTTTGCAGCATAATTAAAAATAAATTATTTTTTCTCCAGGTTGGAAGATGGTAAGCTCCATGCCAGATCCCCATCACAACCATTCAGGTGAGTTGTCATGACAATGGTCTCCGTACCGAGTAGTCATGAGTTGCTTTCTGTTTTACAAATACTGACAAAACCCACCCCACTCGTAATATGCTTTTACTTTTTTTATGGATCACGCCCTTGTGCATTTTGATCTATAGTCGTTCATCGTTATTATGTTTTTTGACAAATTTACCATATTCTTGATAGCGGATGACTCCACAGCTAAAAACGGTTGTCAGTTACTTACACCCCTACACATTTGGAAAGTTACAGAAGTACTACTCGAGGGCAGTATCACTGATACAAAATGTTGCTTATTTAAATTTCATGACTTAGTCATGTAAAGCCTTGATTTGGGAAATGATTTGCAGTACTATGTAAACTGTTGCCGTAGAAACATAGTTAATTGCTCATTGATTTTTCGCATTCTCATTTCGATAATTTCCTCAAATTACAACCATTATTTTCAGCATCTAGCTATACAGATAATTGTGCTTCTTACATTTCAGTTGTACTTGTGTGAATCATTTCCTTTTGCTATGCTATCACCCCTCTCATAAAATGGTCTCTTCTGTTCCGATTGTGAACCACACATGGCTTCTATGTCTGTTTATATTATGCACTCCCTTTGGCTTCAACACTTTCCTGGAATTTTCAACTTTTACTCTCACAGAATACTTGTTCTAGTTTCTATAAATCTTCAATCAAAATTAACAAACACTACTGCGTTAAGAACATCTGTAATATGCTGAAATTTAAAACAAATGTTTGTTGTTGATGTATGATTTTTTTTAATTTTTGGTATCACAAATGCAGATTGCAAAACCATTTCATAGTTCATAACAGAAAACATCAGGTGTTTCTAAATAAAAAAACAAAGGCATTTTCATCAGATTTGGGTACATGCATAGGTAACACATGAAGAAGCTGCCTCACTCAGACAGCTTGTCTCTGTGTGTTTAGCCATACTAAGTGTGGAATGTGTGCATCGTATTGCAATTTTCTGTTCTCTCATTTAATTTGCATATATATATACATGTGTTTACTTCTTCGCAGTGGGTACTCATTGAAAAACCTATTGAGGTATGCACATGGCAGTAAAGCACCGTCCAGACAGTGAGCCTTTACTTCATTCCAAGCACATTTAAATTTTGCATGGTGTGGGTATTTTTTTTAAGTGACTGCGTTGGATTGCAATCTAGAGTTGTTGCATGGTACTCTCTCTACGCATGGCTTTTGTTTGTTGCTGAGTCTCTGTCTTTAATTTTTGGCAGTAATATAATCTTGAGTTTGATATTCTACCTAACTCCTTTCATGTTTTCTGAGTAAACATTTTGAACATACCACATTTTGGGGATCATGCTGTAAATGTTTATTTGCAATCTTAGGAAAAAAGGATTGTTAGTGTGTAGCATGTCTTCGTCCACTGAACCAATGTACCTACATTAAACCTGTTAGATTTGTTATTAAATCTGTTAATGCGATAAATTGACATGTCACAATTTTCAACTAAAAATCAATCAAGGCTAACTTGCATGTTCTGGAAACTTGATTTAGTACTATGACCATAACTATGATTCTTGCTTATGAAAAAAAAAAATGTAAAAAAAAATATGTTGGGTAGTTCAGGGAAGTTAAATTGTGACGCTTTGAAGTTTGAATGTTTCTTTTCACTCCTAATCCACTGGTGCACAAACACTAATTATTTTGACAAAAAATTTCAAATTTACTGTCACTGTTATATTGTTGAAAACATCGAAACAGCAAAATTGTCAGCTAAGTTGCTGACTGGTTTTCTATGTGTGCATGGAGATCGTTATGAGATTAGAGCAAACCAATCTCAAATAGTGTTGAATATAGATTACAATTACCTTTCAATTTATTTCATTCAATCTTATGAATTGCTATATGATAAATGGCAAAGTTATCCAAGCAAAATGTACACATTGACACAGTCACTGGTGTGTCTGGTTGTCGCATACGACTTGTTTACCACTCCCGTGTGACTGAGAATGTTCTAGAACCGTACTGTGTCTGGGTGGAATTTTTAGAAACTGGTTGAATAGGTAATAGGACACTGTAGGAGGCAATAGAAGGTAATGGAACATTCTAGAAATTTGTAGTAAGTTCCAGACTCATTATGTATGCTGATGTAATGGTATATTTATAGACATTGTGGGTATATTTGGGGGAGTTGTTCAGCACTGAGATCAGATCGGAGATCTCGTTGAATTGTATTGGAGTTTAAGTATCTAGTTATTGGAGTAGTGGAGTTACCGCGTTATTGTACTTGATGTTTGCAGAGTATAATAATACCAGTACCAGTTGAAACCTCATCTGTTGGCTCCGTGTTCGTATTTTATCATCGCCGCCAGGGACGTCTTTTTGTTACTGTTGCCATTTTGGTATTTGAACCATCACACCTGTACTATACCAATTACGGTAATATTACGTTGCGTGTGACACTGGTGCATGCCTTAACACTCATAAATATGTTGATTTAGCTGAACGACGTACCCTCGTACCAATGGTTTAAACTAACCAGTTCTAATTATATAACGATCTTGGGACGTGCATTGTGAACCAGTCAGCAACTTAGCTGGCAATGTTGTTGTTCTGGTGTTTGGAAAAATATGACGGTGACAGTAAATACCTCGCTATAACACTGCTTTAATCTTCATTAAATTAAATTGAATCAACTTGCTGAATGTATTGGTATTTAAGAACCGATTTTATTTAAATTGGTTATTTTGATTTTCACCATTGGCGATCCCAACAAAATCTGTCTTAGCTTCATTTTTTCTCCAAAATTGATACTTTTTAATTGGTTCTGAGATATAGGCCGCAAATGGAGGTTAATATTATGCACACCTAGTCAGTTTTTGTATCATAAGTCTGAATTATTTGTTTTCTCTGTAAAAAGTCTGAGATAAATTATCTTCATTTAGTTTAAAATTAATAAAAAATGTTTGAAAAGCATGTAATATGCAAAGTGTAGCACCAACAATTTGGTGGGATGGCATTAAGCAGGTTGATTCAGTATTTCATTGCCAACTTTACCGTATAAGGTCATATTGAAAGAAAAACATGTTACATGTGTTATCACGTACACGTCAGATTCCTCAACACACAATGATTAATTCTTTCTTCTTCTCTTTCTTCTTTTCACAAACAAAAATAATGTGATCGTCCAGGACGAGAGCATCTAAAAAGTAAGCACTTGAAAGTTCATGTGACCTTATATTTAGTGTGTGACCTCTTATTTTTCATTGGTTGTGGGCTATCAGTTGAGATGTTTCGTGACAGTTGTGATCTTTGACTATTGGGAAATTATGGCATAAGCGTTCACATGACCTTTCACCTTAATCACAATCGCAATCGCGTGACCTTTCACCTTTCACTGTTCCTCTGACTCTATTGGGAAAATTGTTGAATATAAGTTGAAAGTTCATCTGAGTAATGGGTGTGACCTTTGATCTGTTGAGACTTAGATGTATGACTGAAGGGTCATGTGATTGAATACTGTCATAGCCATTATTTCCAGTAGTATTTTTACATCATTCTGACATAATATTTGCCTGGTGAGTGGTCATTGTGGTCTTTTTCATGTACATCTCATGCAACATGCAGTTTTGATTCTTTGCTAGCTTTGAGTGAATCTCAATTGTTAAAGTTTTTTTCGCTTTTGCTTAAGGTTAATCGGTTTTCATGACATATATGTTGCTGATTCAACTTACATTCCAAGTTCACGTACTATGTGCCAATGCCTACATTCCAGCATTTAAAGTGGGAGGGGAGTCACCTGCGTATGCGCGATAATTGAGTCTAATGCGACGATAACAACACGCATTAAAAACGCAAAGGCTCATTGGTAGACGCTTGTTTGTAAACAATGACACGCTGTGACCATCTGACGCATGCGCAGGTGACGACTCCTTCACTTTAACATATACCATATTTGCTCTATTAGTAGCACATCACAGTGCTGTTTCTATGGTTTTGGGTATATATGCACTTATAATAGAGCAAATACAGTATATTGAAATATTAAAGTCAAATACTGGTCAGGCCGAGTGCCAAAATGTCTAGATGGTGTGAAACTCATCCAGTGTTTTACTTTATCCTTCATTTGGTTCACAAACATTTAGTGCAAGTACAATCATTCTTAAACAGTCCCATTAGGACCAGTAAAATTGTAGTTTTCTCATTGGCATGCTTGCTTCATAATTTGATTGAAATTATAAATTACTAATCCTACATCCCTCATCTCTAATGCCTGTCAATTCTCAATGTAAATTCCCTTATATTCCTCAATCATATACTATTTGATAAGATGAATTATTTATAAACCTAAGCACATTTACTGTGGCCGTGAATTTGTTTTGTACACCTAGCCAGCAATAATGTCTGCTTATTAAAGCGGGAGAATCGCACCTGCACACATGCGGGAATTGAGTCCCAAGCAACAAAAACAACACACACTAAAAACGCAAAGGCTCATGGGTAGACGCGTGTTTGTAAACAACGACGCGCCATGCGCAGGTGACGACTCTCCCGATTTTTCCTTTAATGAAAGCAACATTATTTGAAACAGAGCTATATTGTCAACCAATTAGCTGCCGATGTTGCTGATTCGATGTACAAACATATTCATGGTGACAGTGAGTTGAGCACAGCATCAACAGGAAATTGATACCAATATGATGATGATTGAGAGCTGTAACTGCAATACTTATTTAAATATTTACATTACCAGATTAACAACATCAACAGCAGCTCAAAGCACAATGTCACCAATGAAGTCTTCCAAAGTTAGTAGTACAGGAGTACATCTAGGTTCCACCAAGAGATCTACACGGCATACACATGCTGGTGCTAGTGGTACTGCTGCATTGAGAAGGTGAGCACAACTATGAATTCATTCATTTCCACACAACAAAGTCATAATACTGGCAGATCTTCTGCATACTTGGCTGTCTTTAGCACATTGTATTATGATAATTCTGAAAGCCATTGTTACAAAAATCTAACATGAAATAAGAGTGTATAGTTGCATAGAATTGAATGTCTATTTTAACAATTTTCGCTTGAAAATTGAATGAATTATTTAAAAAAAACACAGCTTACAACTGGCAATTAAATGTGATTTCCAAAATGGATTCTTATTGTATATTCTTAATGCATTGTTTTTCATGTATTGATAACTTTTGTTTTTTTATTTTATTTTCTATTTAATATTATATTAACTGGTATGAAAACTATTTTAAGCATGTCTGGTGTTAAGTGGTGATGTATTTTACTCAAAAAGGCTTCATTCAATCTGAATATTAATATCTTCATTAACATAATAAAATTAACCTATCAAATAATAAACAATTTCCCTACTAATGAATTCTCATTTCATGCCTTTTATGAAATAATAATATAAAAATAAACATCGTTGCTAATTATTGCTCCAAGTTAACTTATGGTAGTGGCGTAGTCCATGTTTGTCCATTATCCATTTATGTACCGTCTCCATTGCTTGTTTATGTGGTTATCTCTTTATTGTCTTTTCATTACCTAGCTCCATCAGGTTAAGTAGAGAGTACAATAGCGCTATCAACACCGATAGTAGTTACGGCTCCCCTACTGCGGTGCCTGTCAAATACCACACTAGATCTACTCCAGTAAGTTTCTATCCGATGTCTACTCTTGTTTTTGTGCCGTGATTTTTTTTGTTTTGTTATTCTTGGCTTTTTTCACGCTCCTCTGCCGCCTTCCCCCTCCCTCCCACTTGTCCTTACTTTTGAGTTTGCTTAAATGTTTGCTGTGTCTTTTTTTTATTAATATGACTAACTCTGCATGTTTGCATGCCATGTACAAGTTAATTACTCACACTATTAATGCCAGTGTGCTACTGAGTATGGATGTGTGTTATTACTGAATGCCTCCTGCACAGAGGACACTAATTGCTATTTATCAGCAATACCTGTGGTTCTGGTGTGGTATTATGTTTTAACATATTGATCGCTGTACCAATGTGTTAAACCAATACTTTAAATTATTTCAGATTTTGGAATATAAGTTGTGTTCAATTCCATATTTTTATTGACTGTTCATACTGTTGGCGTGTAACAGCCATTCTAAAGAGTATAAGCAGTTTATGAAATTTTGAAATATTGTGACAGCTTATATCTGCCAATCTATACCTTGCTAAAATGCATGCGCTGTATCACATTGCGATATCGCTAAAAAAGTACTGTTTTGTTCTCACAGGCACTGAGATGGAAGAATGCTAACTTATTATCACTTGCTTTTATAAATCTCCACCAGATAGTTTTAGTTTAGTTACTAATTATTTGCCTTTTTCACAGTGTCATACTGATTACACACACTTTCATCCACCACATACTCAGAGACAAGATGGCGGCGCCCTTACTTCCCCAGACTGCTGACCAGTTACAATATGTGTTGCATGTCGTTGTTTTTTCCCAGTCACATACCTAGAGGAATTCACATCCCACAATTATTATGATTATTTACGTGATAAATAAACCAAATACTTCTAATTTAGTTATTGTTCTGTTAAACTTGAACTCTCACCTTGAGTAGCTCTTCGCTAATATTGTTTTGATAGTGTTTATGTCTTGTATTGTGGTAAAGCTTTTGTTTTCAAAAGTGAAGAGATATTTCAAATGAGATTCTGTTCAATACATTATCAAGCAAACCATGTAACTTAGATACTCAACAATTTAACCTCATACTCTCATTCAAATTCATCTAACATAAAATAAAATAAAATAATATAATTTAATATAACTTCTTAGTGATCATCAAACTTTCAAAAATGTTCTTGTTAAATGTTAAATTTAAATTTTTAATTAATTTAAATTTACCTACGTCTGGCTAACAAATATATCTGTATTTTTTAATAAAAATAAAATTTTTGTAATTATTTAAAAAATATATACATTGATAATTTACTTTAGTATAAATATCAAATGTTTTGAACTTAATTCAAATAGAAATGAACCATCATTTGAACTAAAAGCATAACTTGAAACTTAAGTAATGTGAAATATCAGAATTCAAATAAAATTTGAATTCAAATATCCGTTGCAGTCATAAAACTTATTTGTATTACACTGTAGGTAATTCAAGATCTATACGGAGAGTATGATTATTTGTACCAAGACCGTCGGTGAGTTCCCATCCTGCCCTAACTCTTCCCTACTTTCCGTTCCTGTTCCGTTGTCTCTTTCTAATAATCCATGTGTTGTCCTCAATCCACAACCATCTGAACATTTGCCATCATTCAGAACATGTAACTCTGACCACATAACACACTTTGCCAGCTCGCTTCACAAGCAGGTATCACTGTCAACTCGCCATGATTATCGTTTCAGCCATGTATCATCCTCACTTGTACTAATAAAAACACATTGTAAACATATTCATCTGTGACTGATATGATCACTTCTCATTGCATTAACAAGGTCAATATTTAAAAAAATCATTCGCTGCATTTTTTACCAATTTCATCATGTTTTAGTGTAATATTGAGCCAAAATAGCATTTGTGGTATCAGATGAATACACATACGGTTTAATGTTAGGAAGTCCATGTTATGAATATGTAAAGTTTACATATTACTAACATTAAGTATATGCCGTATTACGTGACATATCATGTGTATTTATTTTGTACTGCAAAAACAATTAGGTCTCAGTATTACATGGATTCAAAATATAAAGAATCGGTGAAAATTAGCTCAGCCCTCAAATGATATCTATCTCAGAATCTTTTTGAAATTAAAAAAGAAAACATTTCCATGCACCAGTCACAACTGACTTCATGTAATAAAAGTGCAGCATTTCATTCTGAAAGACCCCAAATATTGCGTCTCGTCTCCAGTGCAATAAGAAAATAATCACTGATGTCGATATTTCTAATTTTCTCTTTCAGATTTCTTATCTTTATATGTCAATATTTCATATGTAATAATTTTGTTTTCTGTTTCAACTAAGTGCTCTCCACCTGTTATCTTTACTGGAGATTCTTGTTTGTTACGTGACATTCATCTTCAACCAATGACAAACCAGTCTTTTTTCTACAACCTTTTAAATAAATCCACATAATTTGTTAATCAAGATTGGTTGATAATGTGAAATATTTGGTCCAGAATAAACAAAAAAAATTATAGAGAAATAAATAAAATGTTCTACAAAATGTTGCACTAACATTTTGGTTGGGTGTGGTTCTTATAAAAACTATGTTAAATTGGTCAAAATTCAAAACATTCATGTTTTGTAACCAATGAAAAATAGTTTTATACTGAGACTGGATTTCATGTGTTGAAGTGCGATGCGAATTTCATCAGCCATTGTTGTGTGGATGGGTGTTTTATTTATTTGAGTGAGTGATATTGGACTGTTGCTTTCAGTGTGCATGCTTGCATGTAATTTGCAGTGTTTGCATGATTAATCTAATCATTTTTCGTATTTATTCTAACAACATGTATGAATATAATTGTTAATTTTTACAATTTTGGGGAATGTATTATTGGTTAAAAAACCTATTGAAGAATAGGTTATACAGTGATAGTGAAGTAGAACTGTGTGAATGTAGTGTGAAATTATGGTAGATGTTAACCTTGTGGTCTTCACAAGTCTTGTTAAACTTCACCACAGTTATTATAAAGCAGGCATTTGCATTTTGTGCACACAGAAGATATTGCATTGCGTGGGATCATACCAACATGGCATGGTGTACAACTGCATCTTTATGGAAGTTTAGGCCAGGGAAAAAAATTCCCTGTTTCTCGTTTCATGAAAATTTTAAAATGAGGCATTTTTTTTTTTTAATACTGAGCTAAAATGGGGGAAATTTGCGACAAGTGCGAGTACAAGCACATTTTGGAATGCTTTAGAAGGAAAAAAACATTTGAGGGGCATAGTTCAAAATGATGCGCACGGAAACAAGAAACAAACATATTTTTTTTCTCAACCTTAAGTCGGATTTAAGATTATATGTCATCTTGTCATACTTTCAGTTTTATGGGTTCATGCCTTCAGAATATCGAAAATAAAAAAAATCTGGTCACTGGATGATTTCGTCATACAAAAATGTTGTGGTAAATGGTCAAAACTGGCATTTTTACACTAGTTTCTATGAAGTGATTATTTTTTCATATCTCAAAATTTTTCATGATGACATGGATAAAAAAATCATATAATTATTGACATGAATGACATAATTTTGTAAGTTTTCATTATATACATTGGGAGCTTACATGTCCCATAATGCATTGCAGTAAGATGCTTAGTACGGTAGTACACAATTTGAATTCAACTCAAACTGATTTAATGATGAGGGGTATCTATGATCAGCATTTAAAAACAGATTCATGATCAGGCTAATAATACAAATCTGAAATTAACTTTCAAATTATTTCTGTGATGGAATTTTGTAAATTCAATGTATGATTATTAAAAGAGTGATGGTCGTCGCACAGCGTGTGTTCGAATTTCATGTAAACAAACAGCGTATTTCACACATGTTAAATACGTCGTTATCATCCCATATCAAATAGGAGGTGGTACGACATCTTCCACCTTTTAAGGGTGATGACAGTATGGAGTATACATCATGTGGGTTACACTGTCCGACTACATTCTCAGTTATGTTTAGTGTGTTATCCTTGTTTTATAATGTCATACTAACAGTTTACATGTATGTTGCCTTTAGTAACAATTTGTTCAAGGATTGTGTCTGATTTTGATTTGCTGTATCGGTTCTGTTCACCATGTTTTGTTTTTAATTATTGTACCATGTTTGTACCGTTAGCTCTATTAAAAGTGCATGGTGTAAAAAAAAACATGTGTGATTGTTATATGCTGTATGACTGACTCATTATAATAATACACGAAACTCAGTCATTTATGTAAGCATATTAATATCATAATAGGGCATATGCTATTTATTACAAGCAAATGCACTCAGGTAAAAGTCTGTGGTGATAATAATATTTAAAAAAAAAACAGTGTACAGTAAATAAAATATTTGATTTATGTGTGCTTCTCCTGGTGGTGCACTTCTAATAGAGCAAATATGGTATTTAATTGTTTCTCTGAAATCATTGTATATACACTATAGTTGTATGCATCTATAAGTCTCTGAAATCTACTTATAGCTGCATCTGAAATTACTGAACTCTGTTCAATCTGTCACACGTGTTCGTACAACATTCCTTGCAGCATCCACATATGATCACTAACTGTGGTCTTTGTTTGTTTCAAGCAGCTTTTACTTTTAGCAGATAAAGCTTGCATTCATAATGGCGGCTCTACCTGGCTTCCTCATATCACACATGTGTCTGTATTGCCATCTAATATATACCATATTATGTATGATTTGTCCACAGTCGTACTACACGTATGCTTACCAATAAATCTGTTGTCCAGTAGTCTTGAAGACAAGAATCTACAAGTACTCAAAAAGAGAGATAATCCATACATTGTTCTAGGGAAGTTGATGTCTTAGTTATTGGTAGTTGAGTAGGGCTGGTCCCAGCTGAACCTATTAGAATCAAGATTTAAAGACACATTCGTGACCAACGAAGCTGCTTACATAAAAGATTTTGTTTTGTTTTTCAAAGATGCGCATTAAAAAAACTGGAATGATGGATTGCTTGCTTTGTAGTTTCCTTTTACAGGGATTCATAGTGTTATGCCATTGAATTATGTATTATTGAAAGTACAGTCATAACAAGTACTGTAGAATACTTTATTTTCGCTTGGAATTTATTTTCGCTATTTTCGCTGAAGGGATGATTCCGTGAAAATAAAATCCAGCGAATATACTTTTTTTCCTATATTTCACATTAAACTCAACAAAAATCAGTGAAAATAAGTTCCACAAAAAACGCCCAAAAAGCATTTTCAGCGAAAATTAATTCCAGCGAAAATAAAGTATTCCACAGTATTGTTTATTTCATTGTATCTTCACAAAATCCAAACTACAAATACATTTATTATATGTACAGTGTTTCAAGCATTGTGAAAGTTTTGACAATTTATCACATTTTGGAGCTTTTGTTTGTTCATATCACAGAAAAAAAAAATTATTTCGTTCCATACAAAATTCATTGAATTTAATGTTGTGCTTTTTAAAATCGTTCAGACAATGGTCACATATTCACAAAGTCATCATTCAAAAATCATGTTGTAATATGGCTGCCTTTAACCTCTGACCTCTTCCATAATCTTGACATATTACAATATGACCTAATCATCATTTTTGACTTTTGTCTTCTTTCAGAAACTATTTGCCAAAGTGTATTTTTGATTCATATGCACTTATATTGGAGATACGCTTATAATAGAGCTTATAATGTCGTGTTTACTTTGTTTTATGATATGCAGTTGTAAATAATGCTATATTTTTAATTCTCAAAAGCTTAGCGTTGCTCGGCAATCTTGTCAGAAACAGTTGTGATTGAGACAAGTGTGTATGTCTGCTTGAACATTTTTAATAAATTGCAGTTAGAAATTGACTACCATTATTCAGTTTGAGAACTGAATTTTTGCAGAGTAGGGGATAGTTTGTAAACATAGAAAATAACATGTACAAGCAGTCATTTCACAGACAGTTTATTTTAATAGGCAAATCATGTAGTATATATATATTATTTACCTTGCTGTGAATTGTTCTACTTGTACTTTAATACTTATTAATTTGCATTGATTTGTTCTGAAGCAATATTAGTTCGCCAGTGTCACCATTTTTTTTCAAATATTTGTTTAAATATAAATTGACTAATTGTAATGATTAATTAATTAATGAGTAGATTTGAATATGCTTCATTTCATATGTATTGGACTTGAGTGATTTTGATGTATGGTCCCTCTCTATTGAAGTGAATTTAGCAAGTTTAGAAACTTTTCAGTTTGTAAACAGTCACGGATTTTGGGGAGTTTAGAAACTACATCATTTAGGTTCATTGCCACCTCAAGATTTTGTTATTGATAATCACATATTAAACCTGTGAAGTGTACCGTAATTATCACCATTTGAAGAGATATAATTAATATCTAATGGTTGTTATTCACAATTTTCATTTAGCAGATATTTGTAATTATAAACGTCTAGGTTGTTATTTTAAGTTCATTAACTCTTCGTCTTCATAACTTAGGCGACAAATATTGATTTGTTCTTAGCTACTTTGTTTCTCTTCCACGACCTTAGACGAACACGATTTTGTCTTTCACAAGTTTTTTTTTTTTTTTTTTCTTCCACTGGTCAAAAATTGTTTCAGATTTATAGAATCTTGATAATGACCACTTTATTTTTAGCAAAAACTTTTGGTGTTTTGTGTGTGTAATGGGTGTACCTTAACATATATTGGGTTTGCATATGGAAATATTTAGCAACTGTGTCGCAAAGCCTTGTGTCCCCTCCTTAATTAACCAAAGATGTAGTGCTATAGGGATATTGAGAAAAAATTGCATTGCAACAGGACTCTGAAATCACTAATAATGCTTTGATAATACTTGTAGTGCCAACAAGATATTTTGTGTGTGTATATTTAAATATATAGAAGACTGGTATCATGGTTTAGACGTCATTAAGACATAATATATTTACGTGTCTGATCATGTGACTTTGAAAGATTCTAATGAAATTTACAATAGGAAAAACCCAATGCACATATTGGAGAAACATTTTTTTTTACAGAAGATAATGAGATTATTTGTGTACCAAGTATTTATGAGATTCAAACGGTATTTCTTGTATACCAATGTAATTATTTGATCAACTTGCATGGGTTTTCTGATTTTAACAGTATTTTACAGTAGAATTGACCCCTATTGCTCAACTATACCATGTGGAGGCACTATAATATTAGTCTTTGCAACTTGTGAGTATTATTTGCATTTCAATCTTAGTCTCATTCAGCATGATCAAACTTTGACCAATGATAGATGCAGCACAATTACTGCAATCTTGACCTATTGTGACAATGTCTGACCTTAGGGTTTGACATGTGATCTTGACCAATTGTGACAAAGTCTGACCTTAGTGTTTGACATGTGATCTTGACCAATTGTGACAAAGTCTGACCTTAGGGTTTGACATGTGATCTTGACCAATTGTGACGAAGTCTGACCTTAGTGACATGTGATCTTGACCAATTGTGACAAGTCTGACCAGGGGGTTTGACATGTGATCTTGACCAATCGTGACATCTTAAGGAGATTTGTAAGTGTCATGTACTTATGAAACAAGGCTGCGAGTAAAGAATTAGTTGAGCAGTAGGTGGTGTATTTATCCTTTTTACTCCAAATCATTGAATCTTGTACAGGAAAATAAAAATAATTGTAATTTGTAGTATAAATTTTCCATACTGTATTTTTCAAACAAATAATGAGAGAAAAAATTAGGACCAAAAAAAAAAGTGTACAATTTCTTACTCTTGTATAATATTACATATGTATCATAATAAATCAATCTTTTTTCATTTTTTAAAACTTAAAGAGAAAGTTGTATTTTTTAAAATTCCTTGTAAATGTCTTCAAGTGTGTATAAATAAGAAATTTTTAGCTCACTGTTATTTTTTTCTCTTTTAAATGATTCACATACTCCAGTGTATTTTATACTCGGTGAGTAATTTCACAAAATTCTCATCTAACCATAGAGAGAAAGAGCGCCCTCTTTGGTTTGATACTGTCTTAGTAACTGTATTTGTTTTTACAACTTCTTGAAAATAAACAGTCAGTTAATAATATGTATCATGTCCTACTTTTGTATCTTCCACATTGATAATGTCTTCTACTTCATACAGGCCAGGGTTTGAACTTTGCAGTTGAGAGGGTACCCAGTTCAAAACGTGTACAGATAATATAGGTGATTGCCTTCTTTGCCTCAATGAAGAGATTCTTGTGATTCTGGAAGGCAAATTCTACATGAGGTTGAATACCTTAAGGGGATTGAGGTGGCTATTCTCTCCCTCAGATGAGTGCCCAACACAGATTTGGGGGTGACTGCCACTGGATGATAAATTGGCACTGAATGTCTTGGTTCTACGTGCTTTGTTGACACCAGATTGTTATGAAATTCCAATTTCCTGGGAAGGTGGTCCCTGTCATGTATATTGAATAATTAAATATTCACTGTGTTGGAATTTTGCTATTTTCTGCTGATAAGTCATATAAATTAAAGCCGTGTGAACATTTAAAAACATAACTCGTTGTTTCATGGGCATATCATTAAATTTATCCAGTGCTCAAAATCTGAAAATAAATGTTCCAAATATGGAATTCATATTTTTCTGGCAATATGCACTACATAAAACACGGTTTGCATTTTTCATATATGTGAGAGTAAGTACCTTCTGGTGGCCACATGAATAAAACGTGTATTGCACCATATTGTATGGCCTTACATTATAGAATAGAGTACAATGAAGCAGGGGAGTCGTCAACTGCGTATGCATCAAATGGCCATAGCGTGTCATTGTTTACAAACAAACGTCTACTTTTGCGTTTTTAGTGTGTGTTATCGTCGCTTGGGACTCAATTCCCGCGCGTGCGCAGGTGACGACCCCCCCCCCCCCCCGCTTTAAGGCTAGACAAAGTATTAAATAATTCCAGTTTGAGGTATTTTGTTTGGTTTATTTGTGACTATCAGTGTTTACCACGGGGGTGGCTCAAAGTGTTGTTTTTATCACGACAGTGTCAAACACACCACATATCTTGTCAAACTCCCGAGGGTTGGGTCAAGCTTTAACTGTCAATTTATTAATTAGTGTTGTCAAATTTCCCTAAATACGGGAACAACATCATGGATGAAAGACGAAAGGCATTTTCTTGTTTTTTCATCTTCTTTTCTGAAAAAAACAGAAAAAGCAAACAGATTACAGCAAGAATTTATAAAAATCCTTGATTTGTTGGGACTGTTTGCTAACAGAACAAACTAAAATGAGCGATCCTTTTTGGTTGGAAACATTACGAACAAGCAGACAGAAATGCGGATAGTTTGTCACAATTTAGACTTTAGGGCACAGAGGGACTGTGATAGAGCGAAGCCCCAAAATAATATTTCTCGTTATTTTAAATTACAATTTGC